AAAAATTTTAAAATTTAATGCTATCATTTTCAATTGAGAACCTTTTTAAAAAAAAAAAAAAAAAAAAAATTTTATTTTTTTTCCTTTTAGCAACTGTTAGGTAACTTTTTTGGTATGAGTGTACAAAAGGAAAATAATTTTGATATCTCACCTTGACTGATGGCTATTCAATATCAGAAGAGTATTTTAATCTTATTTCATATTGCCCATTCAGTCAGTATCAAAAATAAAACTATTCATCATGCTAAGTTTAATACAAGTGTCTAAAATAAAAAATTATATTCTTAAACTATTGGTTATATAACATTAAAAAAAATTTAGTTTTAAACTTAAAGATAAATATATTAACAAATTCTTGATTATGGCACTGTTGGTCTTCTGTACTTTTTTTTTTTTTTTTTTTTTTTTTTTTTTTACTTCCCTCGCCGCACTCTTTAAAAGGACAGGGGTAGAACTAGTGTTTTTCTAACTTGTCCTTTGACCTCACAAGTTAGTGTAGATAAACAAAATTTTTTTTTTCCCCATTTTGTTTTAATTCTTAAATTTACTAACAGACTTTGGAACATCACTATGACAAATACGGATTTTCAAGAATTTTAAATTTGTTTACATTTTTCATATACAATGAGATGATAAAAAATGTTCAAAGGCAGCATTTAAAATATTAAAAAAAATATGTTTCTTTGGTTTTTTAAAACCGAACATAAATCTAAGGAAAAAAGAAGATTATCCATTAGTTGACTTGCATATACAATATATGTAGTGATTGTATTAGTGACTACTAATACATGAAGTGTGAATTGATAATTTTAACTTTTGAAAGCTGACTTAATCAGAGAAACAAGTATTCAAAAAAATAAATCAAGGTAAAGAATTATTATTCCAAATCTTTTTTCTTGTTCTTTAGATTAATTGTCAATGGTATACAAGCAGACATGACCACACAAAAAATATTCACTTGTTTACCCTTGTTAAACTGTTTTCAAGTTTACTGTATCAATGCAAAGACTAAATATTGTACTTGCAACGGAAAATAATTCAATGTAACAATTGATAAAGGTGAATTAGTATAATTAATGTCATCCTCTCAGATTATTGGTAAGAAACAAGAATATTTAATTGAAACCAATAAAATACTCTATACTCCTAAATGTCTATCTGAACTCTGAAATTTTATTTACTATTTTTTTCTCATCAATAGGAGTAAATAGGTTTGCCTATTGTCCGGTTCACACTTCTCCCCAGTCTTTCAAACAGGAGTAAAAGTTTATCCTTTGTTCCCTGTTTAAGATCAGGTTTCCGATTTCTTCTAAAATCTTTTAATTCTATTTGACTCCCCATAACCCTTTGCATCTTAATAGAAGTGTCGCCTTGCTTGGGTGAATTGATTATAAAAATGAAATCTGCAAGCTTAATGAAAAATAGGTTTGTTCTTGAAGTTACAGGTAAAAAAATATAATTTAAAATAAAATAGATATTAAATTTTATAACAAATTAATCTACCTTAATTTTCTGAAACTGAAATCATTACATCCACTGGATCAAATTTATTTTTTTTAGATTTCCTCCTGAAAATGACATTTAAAATCATTTTAATAAAATGAAATATATTTTATTTATTGTTTCACTTTAAGCGGTGAAATGTGACCAAGTGAATTCATAAACACTTTATTTATGTGAATGAATTCATTGTCACATGATAAATTTAAGAAGGGCATCCAGTTGTAAAACATTGGCATAAATTATCAACCTTTATTTACTTAATCTATTCTTAAATTTTACATTATCAACCCCAAAATTCTGCCTACATCAATTATAACAATTTGTGTAACTTTGCAAGTTCTATGCTAACAATTTCTTCTCTTGCACTTCTCACTTGTAGAACTTTTTCCACGTCTTGCTTTCCAGTCAACTTTAATCTTCAAAAATCCAAATGCAATATCAAACATTATTTTTAGTCTTCAATCTTCTTAATTCCTGTTCTTTTTTTTTCTTTCCTTAATGTTTTCTTCTGGTTCCTCACACCTAGTAACCCCTTTGCATCTTTATTGCCTTGCTTTGGGGAGGGGGGTGAAAAGGATTAAAAAAAAAAAAAACTAAAATCTTTTTTTTAGTAGATGAAAGTATTATTCTGCAATCTCTTTGAAAACATTTTTGGACACCTAATGCATCAAATTTTATATTTTCAGAAAGCTAGTTCAAGAACTTCATATAATTTTCTTAAAAATCAGATCATTTTTTTTTTTTTTTTTTATGCAAGGTAAATCAAGGACACATGGCACAGTGGATAAAGGCTTTGGTTAGATCCAGTGACAGGACCTAAAGGGTGTTCAACACCTGGTTAAGGCAGTGGAAAACTTGGACAGGGGAATCAACAGGAGACAACTGACATCCATTAGACATGGCACGTGGAACTAGAACAGTCTACCCTAGTGAGCGAAATAAAGGGTTCAATTCGACATCCCAACCACCTGAAGAAGGCTGGAGCATACAACGGACAAAACGTTGTAATAAATATGGCGACAAAGATGAGGACAATAGTCCGAATAATGTAAATAGTGTACATAATACTTCATCTCAGAAATATAGACAGATATTGAAAGTAAATCAAGTTTGGTCAAGATTTGAATTAATTGAGATTTACATATGTCCTGACACAAGGTCACAATTAACAGAGATATGGGTAGTGTCTGAAATTGTCCATTTGCCTGGGTAATTAGTTTTTTTGGAACACTTAAGATATTGACCCTGCTGATAACTTGTAATTAATTACGAGGTGCTACCACTACCACCAGAGACTTTATTCTGTCCTTCAGCAGTAAAATGTTAAAGAGTATTGGTAAAACCAAGTCTTGCTCTGATCAGGCAACAAATGGCTAAGTCAAAATTATAAGATAAGAAAAACCAACACACAATTTTACAAAACCTGTCCCTTTATTTAATTGATAATTTTTATAATTTTCGCCCTTATTTTTATTGTTGATTTTAAGTTCTTTGGTATTAATTTAAATGTTTAACTTAATTTACCTTACAGCTTCCCGATTGTCTGAGCTATTTATCTTTCAATTGATGCATTTTTAATTATTGGAATCTTATAGTTCAGCTCTTTGATCAGATGGTTCTAATGAAGTTACTAAGCAACTGTTAACTCCTTCCTGGTGACTATGATAAGTGCACTGTAAATTCTATGCTCAGGGGTTGTTTTTTTTTTTTTTTTTTAAATAGATGACATTTATATTACTATTATTACACTTTACTTTCTATTTCATAAATCGTCCTCACATGTACTCTCAGCCAATCATAGACATCTAACGCTGACCCCACTGTTTTTTGCGCCAAACTTACTTTTTGATTTTGTTAAAGTTTAGGAATGGTGAAAAAATATACAAAAATCCGAATACAGGTAATTGACGCGGTCCCAGCCGTAGTATCAAAATTTTAACTTTAATTGTTCAGTCACATTGCTAAGTTAATGTACAAATTGAAAAATCTGTAAGTTTTTGGTTGTAACAAAATTAAATTAAATAGATAACTTCTGTATGCTTGCCCATGCCCAAGTAACCTTGTTTCTACGATATTAAATCAAATGATATTGTGTCACTTAAGTTGTGACTTAAGGTACCAAATGCTCTCTCATGCACTATATGATACAGGCTGTTCCAAAAGTCGCACTACCATTGATAAACTTTTAAATTTTATATTTATTTACCAAATAATGGAATCGTGTTTCTGTATGTGACAACATTAAGAATTTTTATTGGTCGAATTATAGAAGATGATGTCATGCAAGTTTTCCCTGGTTGCTATATTTCACAAACATAAGTATGCTTTCTGACAATTGTCGCTTGACTTTTGGAACACAGGATATATATGAGGACTAAATGACCCACGGGAAGGAGGGGAATAACAAAGGTAGCTCGGGGTGCGTAAGCATCCCCTAAATCTCTTTCCGGTTCCTTCAAAAAAAAAAAAAAAAAAAAAAAATTCTATACTCCTAAATAACGCTTGTCCTTTTTAAATACAACTCCACACAGTAACTCTCTACTTTGAGTGGCTCTTGGGCCTTGTATTGGGTGAACAATAACATTAATAAAAATAGACATGTAGTACCCAAGAAGCAGAAATTAAAAATATAACGAACAAGACTTCTTCCCCAACGAACCTGAATGGGATATTTTGCGGCTTTGCCTTAATCAAGTTTCAATATTTAAAAAAAAAATTTAGTCATTGAATGCTTTAGCATGATGCTTTAAAAAAAAAAAAATCACATGTTTAATGAAGAATAAAATAAGCGTACAAAATTACAAAATGTGACAAAGCATATTGTATCGTTATTAATGTAAAATTTTAATTAAAAAAAAAAAAGTGTCAACAAAATAAAATTGAAAATAAACTAAATATTTAAAAAAGAAATCGTTTTCACTTTTCACTTTTGTGGTGTAAAGTTTCAGGTTCCATGTCACAAGAACTACCTAATTTTGACAAGAAGTGCACCTATTGAGGATTCAAATTTTAAAAAAGTATATCCCAAAAAGAAAAATAAATTCGCATTATCCGATCAATATAATTATTATATTTTAAAATCACTCAACCTTGAAAAAGCAAACATCCCCCTAAGATAGGCTAGAGATCTTATCGTGTAGGGCACTCAACAGATTAAGTACATTTAATTGATATTTTTTGATGCAGTGAAAGAAAAATAGAATAGAATCGAAAAGGGGATAAGCCACAAAAATGAAAGCTAATTTTAGTTTGACCTCTGCAATGGCATTTTTAGTCTTCGTAACTTAAAAAACGACACTAAAAGAAAAGCTAGTATGTTTTAAGAGTAAACACTAAATGAACATTTAATGAATCGCCGTTTTAATGATCAGCAAAATAACAAGGAATTAACACAGCTTTAAAAAGTAGTAAAGTGATGTAAGACGAAGGGTGGAGATAAATGAGCTGTAATACGACTACGAATATAAAAATCGTCCTCTGTTATTTTCTTTACTTACCCAAAGTGGCCCCAAAGCAGCCGTAACATTGCGTTTTGAATTGTTTAGTGCATGAATCACAGTGAATTGATGAAGAATAGTCGGTCAGTAGTGAAATTTATCGGACATAGCAGATGTAATAAGTTGGAAGAACGGCAACCATATACAGAAGCAGACGTCCCTTTACATCACATTATTATGTCCTCACCCGGTCATGGCCGACATTCGTGAATGGCACTTGCACAAAGCTATAAAAAAAAATAGTTACGTATTTATTTAACTTATTAAAAACTGCGAATTAATATAATCAATTTCTTCTTAAACAATTACAAAAATTAAATTGCAAAAAATTATGAAGAAATACCTTATTTTATGTCCGAGCATTTTTTTATTTAAATAAATCATTCCCAATAATGTCTGTGTGTGATGTAAAAAATATCTGAGTTAAAAAATAGAGCATTATATTAGTTTTTGTCAGATTTACTTTTCTTCTTATTTGTTGTCAAATATTTTAGAAATTTGATTTTTCTTCGGGTAATAAATTCTATATGTTATGGAGGAAGTATGTGTAAATGCGGCTACTAAATTTACACGTAACTGCATCCCGGCTCCATAACACGTGAAATCAGGCATTGTCTTGTTGAGAGTGGTTCAGGTCAGTGTCAGTCTTTAAAATATTTCTGTCCATTATTGTTCAAATATATTTCTTGTTATGCACAAATAAAATTCTGACGACACCGACATGAAAATGCTTCGATTCTCTTTAGTTTACTACATCAAGTACTTTCAAAACCCTAAGAAAGAATGTTTGTTTTTGTTTAAGTTTTTTTCTGTTCCACTTCCAATCGAAAAAAAATCTTATTTCCCAATAATTCAATAAATATTTTAATTTACTGTCTTAGAATTAAGGTCACTAAAGTTTACAATTGGACCATTTTCCCTTAGTGCCGAATGAAATCACTTTGTTGACGCTCTGTAAAACTGTAAATATTTACAATACATCTCAGAAATAGGCAAGCAACATAAGTTAAAATTTGATATGATCTGGATTTTTTTTTTTTTTGTCAAATGCTTTGTGAGTCCTTAGTTTTACCCAGATCAGTTTTACTTTTATAATATTTCAAAAATGGAAAAACCTGTCAAAGGGGCGTATGTCAACTTAGCCTCCTAGAATCCCACCGTTAAAGTAAAAAGAAGAGTAACCCCAACAAATACCATTTCATCACTCCCCTTTTCCCCCACCCAGCTCTAAAATATCACCCAGATCTTATCTGCAAAAAAATTGCAGCAAAATTGAGGTATCTGCTAGCTAGTCTAATGTTAACTCAAAAATGTCATCTAGGAATGGCCAAATTTGTTTAATTTGAAACTCATGAGAGCCACATACAATAAACTTGAGTTGGGATGTTTAAAAATCACTCACAAGTCATAAACAAAATTTACAGTTTTTTTTTTATAGAACTATATTTGTTACAAAAAATTTTACAGTAAGATAATAAATAAATTTTCTAACTCGGTTTTACAAAACAGGTATCCACCCATCAGGGCGTTAAATAGTAAATTGAATTTATTTACAGATTCATAAGAGAAGACGTTACTTAAATTTCAATCATTTTTCTGAAACTGAATCAGAAAGATAAGTCTGAAATTCAAAGTTATCTTTCTGACTCTGAATATATTTGTTTAATTAAATGTTCTAGTTTTTAACATTGAGCACTTTACTTCAAAAGACTGCTTGCTTTAAAGCATTATCCTCAAGATAAATACACTGATTGAACTATTTCAACACAACCTTTATTATCAAAATTTTATATAAATATTGGCAAACTTAGATTTTTGTGCCCGTAAAAAACGGAGTGTCAATAGGAGGGTTTTTCGATTAACGCCCTCTGTTGGGGAAAGATTCCTTGGGCTACGGTTTGAATAAAAAAAAAATGAGAGAAAAGATTGTGTGTTCAAATAAAATGATGTTTTTATTTAAATGTAGGATACACAAATTTTTTTTAACTGTAATTACTTATCATGAAATGAAAGTTCTTCTCTTTTTAACAGAACTGTAAGGAAATGAACATGAATTATTGAATAGTCTTTCAGTGAGGAAGAGAGAAAGTAGAGTTTGGAGACAAAATCAAAGCGAGTCCGCTGCTGCTTTGATGAGAAAGACAAGACGCCGAGGTTGACTCGTGTCTCTTTACTACTGTCAGTCCTTCTGCCGAGTTGAATGAATGTTTGGTTTTTATGTTATTGTGTAGGCTCCAGAGGTCTGAGTTACTGGCGGGAGCTGATTTTATTGGCTGTTTATTTTTATTAAATTGAAAATTTGAAGTATGTTTGAAACACAGGAAGGCTGCACGGAGCCCTTGCTCGGTGTGTTTAATTTTGTCCTTTGCTTTAATGTGGTTCACTTCCACCTACTCTACAACTCTATTATTTTAACTACCTTCTATCCTCAACAATGTTGTTTTAAAAAGCAATGATTAGAATTGCAATAAAATCTAAACGTATGATTAAGGTGAATTTATACATTATTTTTTCTTCTTGAGAATAAAAATATTAAACACTATTTAATTATTAGATTGTTTATATTGTTTGATAATTTTATATTTACAACATTATAAAAACTAATAAAATTTAAAACTAATGCAATGCAATATTTATCATTTACCAATTTATAAAGAAATAAATAGGAAATTTTTTTAGTCAAAAATTTATAGACATTTACTAAAATATGTGAACCAACTATAAGGAAATCCTTATTATTTACCATTTTATAAAGTTTGAATAAATTGATAATTAGCTGATGTTTTGCCAATCATTCCAATAAACAATCTAATAAATAATGTTTATTATTTTTATTGTCAGTTCTCAAGAAAAAATATAAATTCACTTTTATATGTTTATTACAATTCTAATCATCGTTTTTTAAAACAAAGATTTCTAAGGAGTGAAGGTAATTAAAATAATGGTGGTGTCAAGGAAAAAACATCCTTTTGACACTCCATTTTTTTTTTTTTTTTTTTGGTGGCACGAAGTTCCAAATTTGCCTAAATATTGGTAAATACATGCGTGCAATAGTATTTATTTGTAATAAAAAATATATTATCATAAATTGGTAATACCAAAATCTTTCTTTTATGTGCTATGTCGTTTCAGGGCATAGGCAATCATGGCTCTCCATTTCTTCATGTCCCTAGTAGCTCTCAATAGGTTTTTTTTTTTTTTTGTTATTTCTCCCAGACCCTGTTCTGCCATCAACTTGTTAAGTATATCACACATTGCTTTCCCTTGTCCCTCTTTCCCTTTATCCACCCTGTGAATATCAGATTTTCCAACCCTTTTTTCTCATTATGTGTCCCAGAAATTTCAGCTGTCTCTTTCTTATGTTAATTATTAGTTTCCTCTTTGTTTGCATCCTCTCCAAAATCTTATCGTTGCTCACATGTTCAGTTTATGGTATCCTTAGCATACTTCTGTAGAACCATATCTCTATTGCCTTGAGTCTCTTCTTCATCTTTGAGGAGATCATCCAGGATTTGCTGCCATAAAGGAGGACAGATATCATGTAGTAGTTCAGTACTCTTTTCTTTGTTGCCAACAAAACCCTCCTGTCATATAATATTCTGTGTAGCTTTTGGGATGCGTCTTTGGCCATTCCAAAATGTCTTCAGATCTTAGTGTCACGCTTACCATCCTCTGTCAGAACACTTACCAATTATTTAAATTTCTGCACCTGTTTGATTTTAGTGTCCCTGACCTGTAAATTGCATTTTGAGCTCATCTTTTTGCTGATAACCATGCATTCTGTCTTCTTGTAGTTTTATAGCAAAGAAAACAGCGACTTGTCAAACCAAGTGACAGCGTGTCGCGTGTATCCTACGATGGAAAAGAAAATTACTTACCAAAAAAAACGGCACATATTCCACATGACATGTTAAAGACGGAATAATTAGATTAAAAACAAGTCCAGTCGCAGGAGTCCCTATAAAAGTATTTTGTTATGCAACTCTCCCAGTTGTCGACGACTGAAAAAATTGCTCGGCCGATAAAAGCAGTTGGTGTTCTCGAATTGGGAGGAAAAAAAAACTGATGTATTTTGGCTATCACTTTCGTCGGCGAGTGAGTTATTTTTCTGACTGGTTACGTGCATTGGGATTTGTGAGATAGTACCTGCGAATTGAGTTTTCGGTAATTCTTTCTGTCCCTGATATTTGAGTCTGAACTTACAGTGATTTGTTCTCTGCGTTGTGGAATTAATTTGCATCAAACATTTCCTTTGCTTTCAGAATGCTTACAAGTTTATGCTTAGTCCTTCTCGCTCTTCTTTGCTACCTTCTGTAGGTTTTGTAGTTTCCTTTCCATATCTATCTGCTATCAGCAGTATTTTATGTTAAGATTGTGGCCAACAATGATAAATCCTGGTAGGATTTCTATTTCTCTCAGAATTGCCATGCTGTATAGGTTGAATAAGTCCAGTGAGAAGACACATCCTTGCCTAATGCCCCTTTGAACTTATTTTTTATCTTTATGCATGCTGTTTGCTCCAGTAGAGGTTTTTGATTATTCTAATGTCTTTCCCAAATATGTCATGGTTGCTGAGCAGCTCTAACAAAATATAACAATTAAAACAGCTAATCTGGTTTATCAGTCCTCTCTCATTTCAGATAAAAAATCGAGGATTAAGTCCCACATTAAAGAAAAAATGCGGCAGTTTTGTACGTCTAAGCCAATTGGTCCCCCAGAAGTGTCCTGTCTACTTGTATTTATCGTAGATTGGTGTGATGAGTGCAAGATTTGCTAAGCAAATTTCAGTTGGTGTAAAAAGTTGTTATTTTTCCGCCAACTTACATATTGTTTTTAGTGCCCAATCTATGTTGAGACTGATCTGGAAGAATGTCCTCCCTACCCATCCTATTAGTTCTGTAATTCACAAATTCAGATGTCAGCGTGATGTGAACTGTGTCAGGTTTGTGTAAGGTTGGAGACATTGATCAACCAACAAATTCCAAGCAATATTTACAAGGGAAAGGTAGACAATTTACATAGGTATGTAGTGATTGCTATGTTTTTCCACGCCCACATTTTATTCCCCTGCAATTGGCTAATAAATCACTACTACTTTTATATAGGACAATTTAGCCATTGCAGTTGTTTCTTTGAATCCTTCAGTTTTGAGCTTGCTTGTTCTGTTAGTACGAATGTAGTGATTGGTTAATTTATAACCAATCACATATTTTAGTGCAAGATTAAGTTTTCCCACATTGCCGTGGGAGCCTACCCTTTTTCCATGAAAGAGGCAACTTTTTCACAAGTCATCAGTAAGATCCAGTAAATTCACCTGTCCATACAAGTCCACAATCTTGCCCATAACATTTCAAACGTACACACAAACACAGAATTTCATAATATAAACTTACATTTCTCTCTGTGACTTAGCCAAGCTCAATCAACCAGGACTCTGTTGATTTTGAACCATTCTATAACACAACACATTTTTGATCAATTGTATTCTTGTGTTATCTATTCTAACAAACAGACCTTTGTTCTAATATTGATTCCTGAACATTTTTCTCTCAAAAAGAACTTCCTTTGAACACTCAATTACAAATCAAAATACAATTAAAGGGGAACAACTTCTTTTCCTTAATCTATACATTGAAAACAATTTTATTCCATGTTCTTGTATGTTATTCCAATATATACTTGTTGATTCATAGTTTGGAGTTTTTGTTGTTTACTTGAATCCCGTACGTTGAAAGTATAATAATAGAAATAGTATCGGTCTATCTACAAACGGACACCTTTACAATTGGTAACCCCCAATGTTCCAAAAATAAATCTTTCAACCAATAGGCCCTTACAGGTACATTAATTTATCAGGTTTAACAATATCAACATTTGATTAAAAACCAGCAGTGGGCTTGGATATTAGCTTGAAAGTTAATCTATCAAATCTGTGAGAAAAACACACATTAAGCTGAACTATTTATTAGGTTTTATATGAAACCAGTAGGTGTATGGTCAAGTGGTCAGAATGTTAGTATTCTGCTCATGAGACGTTGGTTCAAATCTCACTATGGCCAAATTTATCAAAGAAGTGAGCTTGATAATATCAGCCTGGGGTGGCTATCCCAGCATGCTGCACTCTTAGAAAGTGCCTGAAAATCATACCACAGGTTGACCCATGCCTTGTGAGTGGAAATAGGTATCTTGTTTGGAATCCATTGATGGTTATGCTAACACAGTCATAAGTCATTTTGATTGAGGTGAATATACCGGCTTTTGTTTAGACTGTTAATCATGCCTGATTATCTGCTCTCCTCAAAAAACTGGAATTACAGTCAAATCAGCATTTTTGCAGCATAAATCACAGGTTGGCTCTTTGGGTGTTGAAGAAATATAATCATGCCTGAGTAGATGTCTGAATCAGGGATTAGCTATCCACTCTAGCAGATAGGTATGCTTGGAAACAAGAAGCCAGTCATTTTTTTTTATATGAAATCTGAAGTGACATTTTAATTAATTTTTTTATTTTAAGATATTTTTGTTTCTTTAGATATGCTTGCTCAGTGTATATTTATAAGATTAAATATTTGCTTATCAGTAAATATGGTTATAATCAAGCAAAATGTTTTTGTCCTTGCAAAAAAAATTATATTGTAAGCATTTATGATTAGAAAGCAACATTGAAATGTGTATACTTTGTTTTCTCAGAAGCAGTTTTTGACAATTTGTAGAATAAAAAACTTTGCTCAATTATCTGAAAAATTTTTTAAATACATATTACCAATATTTGTCATTTTTCAGCTTCTGTCTCCATCACAGGACAGCGAACATACTCAAGATGGCTGAAGATGATGATAAATTATACAGATGGGAAACTGCCTATGAAAGAACTTGGTTGGTATTTCTGATTTTTTTATATTGCTTAATTAAATGTTTTCACCCTCCAATGTGTTCTTGTATGTGCTTTGTCCTTCAAGATGTTGGCGATCATGGCTCTCCCCAATTTCCTGACTTTTTGCAGCTCTTAATAAATTTTGTCTTTTTGTTATCTCCCTGAAACTTTGTTCCACAATCTATTTACTCAAACTTGCAAGGTAGGTTATGTGTTGATTTCTTTTTGCCTTCAATCATTGTGAGTATCTCCAAGCCCTCTTAACTCATTATATGGTCTAGAAATTTCAGTTCCCTATTTCTGATATCAAATATGTTCTATTTATTTCCATCTTTTCTGAAACTTTGTCATTGCTCACATGTTTGGTCTATGGTATTCTCAGCATCCTTCTGTAGAACCACATTTCTGTTGCTTCAAGTCTCTTCATCTTTATTGAGTTCAAAATCATTTATGTGGTCTTATGGGTGATGATTTTCCCACAGATGAAACATTGCAAACTTATAACTATTCTATATTTTTGTGGCAAATTTTCAGATGAGCTCCATTCTTTAGTTCCACCAGTTCAGACTTTTGCAACTAGGACTTACCTTGCCACTTCTACAAAGTCAAATCATCCTCATTTCTCCCTATCACTACACCACTACCAAATGTTCAGATGTTCCATTCTTTAGTTCTACGAGTTCAGACCTTTACAGATAGGACACACCATGGAGTCAAATCATACTCATTTCTTCCATGTTCCAAATATAAGAAGAAAGTTCTACTCACAGATTTTTCCCCAAGAACTGTCACTTTGAGGAATAAACTCCCATGTGAATGCTTCTCTGAGCACTTTTGACTTCTTCAATTCAATGGTCAATCATCATCTTTATCCTCATATTCTTAAGTTTCAATCATCTTCTCTTTCCATTCATATCACACACCTCATTCAATATTACCATTTTGTTGATTGTAACACTTTTGCCTTAAATGACTTTTGAACTTTGTAGTGAGCAAACTTTAGTATTTTTTAAAAATTTGACAGCTTTAAGTACATTCTTTATTTTTCTGTGTATCATTTTGTGGTTTTAATGTATGTATTAAAAAAAGTAAAAGTTTTTAGAGTATGTACACTCACAAATATAGATGTACTGCAAATGATTTTGCTGCAGAAATGCATTGAAAATCAGGAAGAAAGGCTTTGTCATTCACTAAGACTTTAATGTAAGCATTACTAATAGACTGATAAACAAATGGCCAAGTGGTTAGAACGTTCGCTTTCTGACCATGAGAGCAGGTTCAAGTCTTGCCATGGTCGATTTGTCAGGAAGGTGATTTCTTGGTGTTATTGGTCTGGAGAAGGTGATCCCAGCATGTAGCACTTTTGGAAAGTGCCCGAAAACCATACCACAGGTTGACCCAAGCCTTGCAAGTGAAATTGTGTAGACAGAACCCTTGGAAGCCATCGGTGGTTGTGCTAGCACAAAGTCACAAGTCATCGTGACCGAGGGTTTGAGCGTGCTTGTCTTGTTCAGACTGTTGATCATGCTAGATAATGCGCTCTCTCCCAGAAACTGTAACTAAGGTCTGTTCAGCATAGTTGCAGTATAAACTCTGTGGACTCTGTGGGTGTTGAGCAAATACAATTATGTCTGAACAGGCGTCTGCAATTGGGATTAGCTAGCCGCCCTAGTAGACTGACATCCTCGTATTCGAGTATCTGAACCATTTACCTTTTTATTTACTGATAAAAAGAAGCTGTGATGTGATTCATTTTTTGTGTTTGTCTAGTTTTACAAAATTAAAGATGGTCATTTGTTGAGAAAACAGGCTTGGGTAAGTAATTCTTACCAGTCATTCTGTAGCTAGGAAGATCGTAAAAAGTTCACAAAATAGGAATAGTGTTCACACGTAAAAGGGGCACAGTCAAGTTATGACTTCAAGGCAAAAAAGACAAAATGTCTGTGTAAGACCGAGAATTGTCCATTTTTATTGTCGAGGAAGAAGTCCCAGCATGCATCTGTAGGATTTGTCTATAAATTTAAGGTGGGATGATTTTCAGCAGTCATTCCACAGTTGGGATCAGTTAACTTGCTTTTCTGCCATATGTTAGACCTAGAGAGGGTCCCATATGAATATTTTCTTTGTATATGTTTTTCATTTATGTCATGGGGTTATTATGGAAATAAAAAAATCATGTAGTAAGAAACAATGTAATGCAAGGCAAAAGCAAAGCAACTATAAAACGATAACAAAGTAAAAAGTTCACCAAAATAGAAATAAGTGTTCATATTCAAAAGGGATACAGTCAAGTGGTTATAGGCCTTCTGACTTCAAGACAAGAAAGAAAACTTCTGGGTATGACCAAGATTGGTTCATTTTTATTGGCTAGGAAGAAATCCCCGCATACATCTGCAGGGTTTGTCTATAAATTTGGGGAGAGAGGGATTTTTGACTGTTGTTACTTTAGATTGAAACCAAAACATTATTTGCTACAGGTTTACAATCTCATGAAGTATTTTCTTTGTTCACCCTCAAAATTCATTCATTTCAGGGAGGCAATCAAAGAAGATGAAGAAGGTTCATTACAGGCCAGCATCAGTGAAATTACCCACAAAGCAAAGCGTCGCCGCCTCTTAGACCGAATTGGGAATGTTCGCCTTGGTATGGTAAGTATAATGAAACAGTCAATTACAACACCGTTTGTAATCATTTTGGATTCAACAGATTGACAGGTAATCTTCATCTTAATAAAATAAATAGAAAATACAACATAAACTTCTTTCATTGTGGTTGTGAGCTCTTGCTTTATTCAAAACTAGCAGTATGGCCCGGCGTTGCCCGGGGATGTAACAGATAGTTCAAGTATCGACCATCATAAAGACTGAAAAATAAAATTGACAATAAAATTATGTCTTAATTAGTTTTATATTTTTGTTTTTTTTTGTTTTTTTTACGAATTGGTCAAACCCAAACTCAAACAAAAACATTGTTTTCAATCGTTATGAGTCTCTACCGATTGAATAGAATTTTATTATAAACAATTGTCTTGTAAATGGAATTTTTAAAGCATTCTGAATGTAAAAATAAAGAAAAAAGTGTGCAAGACAATAAGAAACACTACCTGCCAAAAGTGAAGTCTTGTTGAAATCGGTTGAAAAATATAGGAAATCCGATCCCATATATAAACGAACACACACACAAAACCAACTTGGGTTTTATAATAAGTATAACTCGATATTAATAAGTATAACTCGATATGAGTTGTCCCCCTTCCATTAATGCCTCTTAATCGTGTTTTCAAATTGATTTTGTGTAAAGACAGTTGTGTTTTTCCAATTTTTGGCGCTGTCAGAACCACCGCAAGGTAATTTTACGTAGTCCTGTGAAGTTTTGTTGAAATTGGTTAAAAAATGTAGGAAATCCAATCCAATATATAAACGTACAGACACACACACACACACACAATCTGAGTTTTATAATAAGTAAGATATTAGTTCAAGCGATGATTCAAGCAGGATGGTCAAATAAGGAGTGGTGGTTAATTTCAGTGGCATAGCTAGTGTTTTTGCTGCCCCTCCCTAGAACGAATACAGTATTACAATACACATTAACCCCTTAACCTCGGAGTTCTTGACAAGATCCAGAGATAGATATGTAATCTAATTGGCCCTGATCTGGCGTCTCGTCTGCAGTCACTCTCTCACAGACGCGCCGTCGCCTCTCTCTGTCTTTTCTACAAATACTTCCATGGTAACTGCTCTGATGAGCTGCTTTCACTGGTTCCCAGACTCCATGAATTCAAGCGCCCTACGAGGCTGGCATCCCGCTCCCACCTTACACCGTAGAAACTCTCAAATGTAGCCGTCTCTTCTACTCCAATAGCTTCATACCTGCACCTCTGCCAGTGGAACACCTCCCCAGTTACTGCTTCCCTGAAGGCTATAATCTCCAACTATTCAAATGTAATGTCAATCGACATCTCCAGTTACCTTGATCTACCCACTATCCTACTCCTCATCCTTTCTTCTATCACTCCTATCTGCTCTCGCTCCAAATCTTCCGCAACCCCATGCATCCTAGTGGCTTCACGCCTTGCTTGGCGTAAAAAAAAAAAAAAAAAAAAAAAAAAATATATATAATATATATATAATATATATATTATATATATATATAATATATATAATATATATAATATATATATAATATATATAATATATATATATATATATATATATATATATATATATATATATATATATATATATATATATATATATATATATATATATATATATATATATATATATATATATATATATATATATATATATATATATATATATATATATATATATATATATATATATATAATATATATAATATATATATATATATATATATATATATATATAATATATATATATATAGTCCTTGATGAAATTATTTGTACACACGTCAATTTTTAATATTTTTTATCCATTTCTCAGAATCTAATGCCCGCATGATGCCAGTTTTTTGTGTTTTTTGTTAATGTGGTGTTTATAACTCATCACTGATAAATCATGAAATAAAAATGCAATTGTGTTTATTTATTTTTTAAAAATAAAACTGGCGATATGTAAAAAACTGAAGATGTTACTTTTTTTTTTTCTAAATCAGGAAAACTTTACAATATTAGAAGAAAGATAACTTGTTTTTGTTTATATACTCTCTGTTTTATTTAAAAAAAAAAACATTGTACTTTTAATTTATAATTCATCAGTTTTTTTTAGTATTTATTTTAGTTCTAACAAGTGAGGAGTCAAATTAAATGCCACGTTAACAGAAACAGTTTGTTTTCCTTTTAACAATGTAAAAAGATGCAATGTCTTTGTAAATTATTTTGTTTTACATAGTTGAAGTTATTATTAGCAAAGTAGTAGACTAAGAATTAGAAGTTCAATAAAATTAATTTCATTTTTAAAAACTGAAATAAATGTTAGCATACTTACTCTATTTTGCTTAATAAAACTTCAACTATCTAAACAAAAAAATACAAGATACATTGTTTTACTACTGTGAAAAATTGAAAAAAATGCCCATTTTTGGACTTTAAAAAATATTAATTTTCAATTTTCTTTTAAATTTTCATTTGATATTTCTGGAAAAAAAATGGAATGCATGTGATATCCTGAAAGCATTGGAATTATTTCAATTTATTTATCTATTTCATAATTTATGAAAAGTAACAATTTTATATCCATATTAAAGCTAGGCCTATAATAAGATAAAAAACACAATTGGTTCACTTATTTATTTAATTTTTTTTACTAACAGTTCACAGACATGAAAAATCAAAATCAAAGAACTGACACCAAATTCTGGATCTCTCACACAGGTGTGAAAAAACTGTGGATTCACTAAATTCACTTAATCCAACCCAACACCAAGCCCTTTAAAAATGTTCAAATTTTTTTTCATACCTTTTGCATACATCTTGTATGTGTGGTTTATCCCCACCAGCTGAAAGCACATTTTGGAGACAATTTCTTTTTTATTGTTGGCTGGCTGGCTTTGAGCCAGCTATATCAAAGACAAATTGGATTCATTTGAACCTATCTTCTCCCTTATCGCTGCTTTTTTTTGCAAAAATTATTGAAATTATGCTACTGATTTTTTTCTTTTCTGAAATTTCACTGCAGAATAAAAGTACCGTTTTCCCACTCTACCAAATCTGTGCTGCGATGTCATATTGGGCCATGATTTCCTCAAACAACATTCTAATATTAATCTCCCTTTTGGTGGCCCTAAACCAACATTGAACATCTGTGGTTTGTCCGTTATAAATGTACAATACCCCTCACTTGTCAAAAACTTAACCAAAAACTGTAACCAGTGGCCACCAAATTTCAAAAACATTCTCTTGAAGACAAAATTTTTATTCAAGAATGTTAAGAGAAGGAATAATTGAAGACAGCAGATCACCATGGAGGGCACAAGTATTGATAATGTCCTCTGATAATAATAAAAGAAGAATGGTCATAGACTGCTCACAAACTATAACTAGGTACACCCTCCTAGATGCATACCCTATACCCTGTATTGATGAGATGATAAACAAGATTGCCAAATACAAGATATTTAGCACAATATAACTAAGGAGTGTTTACCACCAAGTAACTATAGACCCTAAAGATAAGCCTTATATGGCTTTTGAAGCCTGCAGACGACTTTATCAGTTCTGACAGATTCTGTTTGGGGTCACTAATAGGGTTCCCAATTTTCAGAGAGAGTTCTCGATAAGATAATTCTTGTAGAAAAACTACAAGGCACCTTTGCCTACATAGATAATGTGACAGTGTGCGGCCATGACTGGGCTCACCACAATCACAACCTAAAACAATTTTTGATGATGTTCAAGAAATATAATCTTACACTCAACCGTGAAAAAAGTTCTTATGGGTCAACAACCATCAGACTACTTGGGTATATTGTAGGTAAAAGAACCATGAAGTGAGACTGTGAATGGCTAAAACCCCTGCTAAAACTACCTATTCCCAATACCATAGTGCCTTGCAGCAAACCCTGGGTATATTCACTTATTATTCTCAATGGATACCCTCCTTTTTTGAAAAATACTCCCACTTACGAAATTAACAAAATTTTCTTTACTTTCATCTGCTGCTAAAGCCTTTGAGGGATTAAAAAGAGATATTGCCAACTCGGCCATCACTTCAGGGAATCCTGACATTCCTTTAGAAGTAGCGACCAATATTTCCATCCACACCATAGCTGTTACATTAAGGCAATCCAGATGTCCTGTATCGTTCTTCTCCAGAACATTTTCAAAATCTGAGTGCAGACATTCAGCTGTCAAAAAGGAGGCTTTTGCCATAGTCGATGCACTAAAAAAATGCAGACATTTCTTAATTGGTCACTGCTTTAAATTAAACACTGATCAAAAGTCATTCTCTTTTATGTTTAATACCAAGATGTGAAGCAAAATAAAAAAAAAGAAAAGGTAGTGATATGGAGGGTAGAGCATTGCTGTTTTTCATTTGACATTTTCTATCAGTCAGGTAAGAAAAATGCAACAGCAGTGTAGTGAAAGAGATAGTCAGCTACCCCGGAAAAAAAGTTTGTGTTTTGTGTGCGATCTGCCGAAGAAACATTACCAAAAAGTAGTCAGCAAAAATCTTATAGCGAAGAAAACGGCGACTTACCTCGTTAAACCAAGTGACAGCGCGTCACGTGTATTCTACGACGGAAAAAGTTATGAAAAAGAAACAAGTCCGTCGCAGGAGTCGCTATACCAGTATTTTGATATGCAAATTACGGAGCATCCTATAACAGCTGTCGACGAATGAAAAAAATAGGTTCTGCCAATAAAAGCAGTTGGTGTTCTCGATTTGGAGGCAGAAAATTCGGGCATTTTTCGCTTCAGCGTTTGTTAGAGAGTGAATTATTTTTCTGACTGGTTACACACATTGTGATTCGAGATAGTAGCGGCGAATCGAGTTTTCAGCATTTTTTTCTGTCCCCGATATTCGAGTCTGGACTTACAGTGATTTTTCTTTGTGTTGTGGAAGTAATCTGCGACAAAACCTTCCTTTGCTTTCAGAACGCTTACACTTACAAGCAGACACGCTGTCAAGAGTGTGTGGATCAATAAACAGCACCAAAGATCTAAAAAAGTTCATAATAATCTCTGTCATCCAGGCATCACAGCGATGAGGCATGTGGTTTGAAGCTGGAATTCGCCTTTTTCAGTTGGGGATGTGGCAATCTCTCTCTATATCGATATATATATATATATATATATATATATATATAGCCTGTGAACAATGAAGTCAACACCTCAGTGTCCACTTTTATATTTACATACACTCTATCTCAGATATTGAGTACATTAAGCCATGAATATAGCATACTTTAAAACTATATTTTTATCATATATATATATATATATATATGTTCCGTTAAAGGCAACTGACAAGGTACTGCAATCAAGCTTTTTTTCTTTTCTGGATACAAAGCGTGTAAAAACTGTCCAAAAGTTTTGCATATTCGAGTGCTTTTGGCCCTACTTTTAGCCATTATCAAGGATGATTTTATTTTACTTTTAACTAAATGTATGGCTTTTGTTATGTATATATGTATGTAGAGTTATAGGGATGTTTTATTTTACAAACGCGGTCAGTACATTGTGGCTGTGTTCACAGTTAATGTTATTGAGTGTTGGCATTTTTTTTTTTTATATATATAAATTATTATTATTATATTATGTAATTATTGTTTCATTTTTTCTTTATATATATATATATATATATATATATATATATATATATATATATATATATATATATATATATATATATATATATATATATATATATAATGACTATAAAGATAAAATGAAAACAATAATTACATAATAAGTGAATTTTAGTTTCAATCAACTGTATTTGAACCCAGTAAACATAGACGAGGTTTCAACTTTTCTTATCACTGCCCACTGAATTTGTTACGACTCTCTATATTATTTCTGGCAGTAAAGAATAAAAATTAATGCAGGATTGAAATTTGTGATTTTTTCTTTTTCTTTCTTTTAATCATAAAATTTCTGTCTGTATTTCTGGTATAAGAAGTTATCATTATTTGCGTTTAGACAACAAAGATGAGGTTTCTATTTACATTATTCGGACTATTGTCCTCATCTTCGTCGCCACATTTATTACAACGTTTCAGCCATTGTACGCTCCAGCCTTCTTCAGCTGGTTGTAATGTTGAACTGAACTCTTTATTTCACTCACTGGGGTAGACTGTTCTAGTTCCACGTGCCTTGTCTAATGGATGTCAGTTATCAGTTATCTCCTGTTAATTCTCTTCTCCAAGTTCTCCACTGCCTTAACCGGGTATTGAACTCCCACTCTTTGAGTCCTGTCACAGATACTGCAAGATGAGGATATTAGTCCAAATGCAAATAATCAAAATAGCATATGATTTGTCACCTTACTATCCCTCTAGGTACATGCTCTGCAATCCATCAATAAAACTTCCCCCCTCTCTCTCTCTCTCTTTTACCTTTAGTATATTCTGTGATTGTTAAATTCTCCAAGACCACATTACTCACTATGTGCCCAAGAAATGTCAACTGTCTTTTTCTGATTCTAAGTATAAGTCTCCTTTTTGTTTCTATTTAAATTAAAACTTGCTCATTGCTTAAATGTTCTGTCTATGGTATTCTCACCATCCTTTGATCTGTCACTTCAAGTCTCATCATTGTAGAAATTGTCCAGCATTGAAAAAACAAAAAAACAAAAACAAAATAATAATCTGTTTTTTTGAATTCTCAATACAATTATTCCTGACAATGATAATTGTCTTTATTTTTTTTTTTCAGATGCGTCATGTCTACTTAATCATTGATATGTCTTCTGCTATGTCTGATCCCGATCTGAAACCAAGCAGATTGGTAACATCTGTAAAGGTGACTGTTTGCTTCACTTACAATGTGTTTGAGTTTGTTTTTTTTTAATCAGAAACATAGAACAACAAAAGTACAGTACTTGCTTGTCAATAAGAATTTTCTTCATGCAGCCATAGAACTGAATATAGAAAACTAAACAAAAAACTGCCTACTTTTATAAAAGTTATTACTAAAAATGAACTAATTTGCTTACATTTCATTTGCAAGCAGCTGTAGTAGTAGAATAATAAAATGTTTTTTTGATGCAAACACACCAATGTAATAAATTGTGTTTATTGACTTTTCTATCTCTAATTAACTGTTGGAATTGCCAATGAACTTAAGGTTGTCATTGCAGAAAAAATAATTGGAAAACCAATTTCAAATTCCAACTATATTTCATGCTAATACCCTTAGAGAGGCATGAATCAATCTCTCATTCCCCAACTATGAGTTAAATAGCAGGGCAGACGAAGCTATCTCACCCTGATAGTGAACACTCTTAGGAATGATTTTCCTAATGGAAAACAGAATACAGGTTCAATTCCTGTTGGAGGCACAATCTTTCTTTCATAGGATTTCTCAATCTAGTCTGTTTGTTATTAATTTTATTATTTAAGAAAAAAAATACAGAGATAGCAACTCGGATACAGGTACCAACGAAAAATAATGTTTATAGTAATAAGAAATAATATTGCATAAAAATTCAGTTAAAAAATTAATGAAATGTTTTATCAATCAAATATATATTTCCATGTCCTTTATCTTTTAGATTTGTTCATAAATAAAAAAAAAAAAAAAATTATGTCCCAATTTTCATCGAAAAATCCAATGCTAAAACAACTTATTAGCAATATTTTTACTGAGGATAGATATAAGTTAAAAGTTCACATGATATATTGCTCATATGAATATATCCTGAAAAATATTACTGATACGAGGACAGGCTGAAAAGTTCATAGGCTGACTATAAAAGAGTGATGCTAGAGCTGTAAAATCTTGCATGCATTAATTTCAACTCTTCTTATTAATAATTGCATTGTGTCTTTACAAGTAAACTAACATCTGACTGTTCAGAGAAGACCTCAAAAGTTACTAGTAGCATCTTCTCTTGAAAATAGACAAAAATTTGGCATTGTAGTGTTAACAAGTACCTGCAGAAAATGGGTTTAGCTCGCAAGGACATTCCTGCTGTCATAGTTGCTACATTAGAATATGACACTCCAGCTTTATCAACAGTGCAAAAGTGGGTAACTGAATTTAGGAGGGGAAAGGAGAGTCTTGAAGATGGCTCAAGGTCTGGACATCCTGCAACTGCCACCACTGAGGAAAATATTGATCATGTTCACCACATGGTGATGGGTGACAGGTGATTGACTATAAATAGCCAATGCTATTATATTCTGTAAGAGTTGAGAATATTCTGCACAATGAACTTGGCATGATGAAGGTTTCTGCTAGAAGAGTGCCACACCTTTTGACACCTGATCAAAAGCGCACCAGGCTGATCACATCATGGGAAAATCTAACTTTTTGGGGGGGCAGATCCAGCTGGTTTCCTTGAACATTTCCTAACCCAGGATGAGTGTTGTGTTCATCACTTTGAGTCATAGAAAATGACAATCCATGCAGTAGAAACACCCCTCCTTCAAAGAACACCATGTGCCACATCTTCTAATACCTGATCAAAAGTGCACCAGACTATTCACATCATAGGAACATCTGACATTGTTTGAAGCAGATGCATCTGGTTTCCTTGAACGTTTCCTAACCCAGGATGAGTATTGGGTTCATCACTTCGAGTCATAGACAATGACAATCCATGCAGTGGAAATACCCCATCTCATCTGCTCCAAAGTAGGCCAAGGTTATTTCATCTACAGAGAAGATGATGGGCCATGTTTTTGGGATGCAAAAGACATTGTGTTTATTGACTATCTTCAAAAGGGACACACCATCAATGGAGAATATTATGCCAATTTGCTGAGGCAGTTACAAAAGGCTATCAAGACAAAATGCCCAGGAAAACAGATGGATGGGATCTTGTTTCATCAGGTCGATGCTCCAGCACACAAGTTTTAGTCTTAGTTTCAATGACTGCTGTGCCTGACCGTGGCTTTGAACTGGTTGATGACCCTCCCTATTCTCCTGATTTGGTTCCCATCTGACTATCTCTTGTTCCACAACATGAAAACAACACTTGGCTGGAAACCAGTATTGCAGCTGACCCTTGTAAATTTACCATCAATTTCATTGTGAAAACAATGACTTGTTTAATGAAATCTGACATAATGTATATTCAGGTACATCACACTTGGTTCCAGAAACATGCCAGATTATCCATCTTAATAGACCTACAGAAGTTGCATAATAACATAATAATGCACCCATCACTCAAAATTATGCATCTTCCATACCTCGACAGCATTACCGATTATTAAAAGCTTAAAATTAAGCTGTTAAATACACACAATGCCAATTGCGGCCACCCAGAGAATTAGTCTTCTGGTTCTCACCTCCTGTATGACAGTGAGTGCTGGACAATCTCCTCAAAGATGAAGAGGAGACTTGAAGCAACAGAAATATTGTTCTACAGAAGACTGCTGAGGATACCAAACATGTGAGCAACAACAATGTTTTGGAGGAAATGGAAACAAAAAGGAAACTAACACTTAAACTGAGGAAGAGATGGTTGAGGTTTTCTAGAATATATAATGAGTAAGGAAGGCTTGGAAAATTTGATACTCACAGGACAGAAGAAAACAACACATAACATACTTAATGAACTTGAGTAAATGGATGACAGAATAAGGCTTAGGAGAAATAACAGAAAGATAAAGATTATTAAGAGCTACAAGGGACAGGAAGTTATGGAGAGCCATGATCATCTGTGTCCTGAGGGGACATGGCACATAAAGACAATCACGAGAATTTTAAATGCTTGGTCGTGATTTTGTTCAGACCAAAAAAAAAAAAAACTCTACTGAAAATAAGGATGCAAATAATTTGTAAAGACCATTTTGCTTTTCTTGTTGCAGCTACTTGAGAATTTTGTAGAGGAGTATTTTGATCAAAACCCAATCAGCCAACTTGGAATTATTTTGACGCGTAACAAAAGAGCAGAGAAAATAACAGAACTTGGAGGTAAGTTTGTTTTTTTTCTTGTGCTTTTGTGCTTCCTTATAAATGAAATACAATACGAATCAATAAAAAGAAAAGAAAAAGCATTATAAAGCAATCACTATTTTCCCTTCGTCATTTCTCATTCAGAATCCCACATTCTCGTGTCTTCTCAAAATCAAATTCATTTTAAATTTTGTTTCCTTTTGGTTTGAAGGTAATCCTCGACGGCACATTGCAGCTCTACAAAATATCAGTAAGAAACCCTGTCAGGGTGAACCATCTTTGCAGAATTCTTTAGATATGGCAGCACAAACTCTTAAGTAAGTAATCTCTTCTAATTTAAGTCATATTTAAGGTTTTACAGTTTGTATGCATACAATGTGTGGGTAGTGTAACAGCTATCAGTGTCGTAAGTGGGATCTGTCAGCCAAGTTCAAATTCCAGGCAAGTCTGTTGCATTCACTTTCACACAAAAACCAGACATGAATCTATCACTTCCTATCCTACCCCTTACTATGGGTTAAATAGCAGAGTAGACTGTGCTCTAGCATTTAGCATTTTTTATTTTATTTTTAAATCTTTTCACCTCATGCAAGCTGATAGTGCTACAAGAAGTTACTGAGGGTGGAAGAAAGTGTGAAATTGTTAGCAAGAAGAATGGACAAAAAGAACAGGATTCAGGAAGATGGCAATTGATGTTGCACTTAAATTTCTGAAGATCATTCATGACTGGGAAGCAAAAAACCTGCTAAACAGTTTCACAGTAAAGAAACTATTAGAATAGAACTTACGCTTATATCTCGCTATTTCAACAGTAAAATGGTAAGACCTACTTGCCAATCTAGTATTTAAATTCATATAATCAAGTTACCAAGGAGGAAAGCTCGTTAGAATAATTGCCATAAAAATATTTATAGAAAAAAAAAACAGAGGTAAGTCACCTCACAGCTGTAGGAAAGCAACTGAAGCTGAAATGGCGGGTCTGGACCAATAACAATACAGAGTCTTTGGATTTTGAGAATTTTATCTCAGAAATTGTGGCAGACATAGTGAACTGGAATTGGAGTCAAACAGCAGAAATGGTGAACACGACTTGCCTTATTCTCAACGAAAGAGAATTCGTCGTTGTCTGACATGTGGTACTTTGATTTGCAAGAAGGTGAGTATGTCGTCTGTCAAAATGGACCCTTCTTCTCCTTTGTTGTCCCACAAGAAACTGGTTCATTAGCAACTGTGTATAATATTAGCGTAGTTGGATGGAATTGAGGAGAAACATCTAGGTGTCTTAGTGCTCCATTCTGAGGTGCCCATATGTCTATCACCCGGGTGAGTGATTGGTGATACCCCATTATAAGTAGGCCATTGTGGAGATGAGAGAGGTCTCTGTTGGGGTACATTGCACTGTACATACAGTTGTGACAGGAGGAACGAACAACGAAGCAGTCACAGGGAAGAGAACAACGATAAATACCAAGAAACCTGGGTAGAGTTGCTAATTTCTTTTGACCACGGAAATATTGATAGATAATAAAATATGTGTATGGATTTATGATTGTGTGTGCATTTGTTTATGCTTACAGATAAAATTTTTATGTGTATATGAATATGTCGGTGTTTATATAGTGACATGACCATCTTCTTGCATGAGTGTGTTGGCATTCATCCATACATACTCAGCACATTCTAGAGATACAACAAAACCCAACGAATATATAAACAAGAGATATTGTGGAGAAATTGACTGTTGGTCAGGCAGGAAAGGAGCAGTGTACTTACCTTCGTTGTTGAAATCCTTACTAAAAAACTTATTACCTTTACTAACCCTTTATATTTGCAGTGGTTACATGACAAGGTTACCATATGCGGCAGGTTTTAGTGGCAACCAGTCTAAGAGAAGGAAAACTCTAAATTCCAAATGAGGGAGATGACAACAGAAAGCCACTTCTCTATTTTTCCCAAGAATGCATGGGAGTTCACAAATAAGAGGAAAGCATGGAGAGTCATGATCTCTTATTTCCTGAAGTGATGTGACATTTTTTTCTTTAATTCTCAATTGATGTGTTTCAGTAAAGTTCAATTATCTATTCAGATAATGGAAAGGTTTTAGTGCCATTCTTTACCCAATATTAGGGAACTCTTAGAAGTGTCTTTTAAATTCACTCAACTCCTCTTTGTTATCAGTTAAAAATAAATTTTTTATTTAACTTTTTACCTTTCCCTAACCTGTTTTGTATTAATATTATATGTCTCACTATAACAATTCTTAGTAGTGAGTTCAGTCTTCATTGGTGCTCCATACTTTCGGCCTTGTGCCACATCTAATAGAACAAATTCAATTTTAATACAATAAGGAAAATAATCTTGCAGAAAACAAATCATTTTAAGTTTATGTATTAATCTATAGGACTGGAGGATTACTTTAAGGTGTAGCATGATTGATTATTTCGTATTTTATGGCTTATCAACCCTTTGTGAGTTATTTAAAGATGAAACGTATTTTGAATTGTAAGAATAATTCCTTTTTATTTTATTTTTTCAAGTGAATATTACATTACCAATTTTTTTGGTGATAATGATTTTTCCAGATACAAGTATTATTTAACCCATAGCTAGGAAGAGAAGAGATGTATTATTAGAGCATAAGTAAATGTAATGAACTCTATGGGAATTTGAACTTGGCTCTCTGATTTTTCATTTCAAGGTGCTATCTATTGCACCACCTGCACATCCTTTAAGGTGTAAAGTAAGGAAAATTATATATTTTTTTTAACTTGATTCTCTAATCCCTGGTTGCTATTGATCCTGACCAATGGCAATCCCTTTCTTGATTTACATCCACATGGAGTGCTGAAACTTGCTAAAATAAATTTCTGGCAAAGTTTTTTTTTTTTTTTTTTTTTTTTTTTCCCTAACTGTCAGAATTGCTGTTAATGCAGAAAATGACGAAATCCGAATAGGAGTGGGGGGAGAACTATATTAATAATAAAGTCAGTGTTGAGTAGTGATAAAACTTTACCTACATATATTACACATCTTCAAATGTAGTCAACATAAAAATATTTCTTTTTTCTTTTTTTTTTTTCTCATTTAACCCCAAGCAAGGCAACAAAGCCACTAAGATGCAATGGATTACTGAGTGTTAGAGATTATGATGTAGGAAAAACTACAAGGAGAGAGAACAATAAAAGAACAAGAATTAAAAACGACGGAAGATAATGATTGACATTGCATTTATATTTTTGTAGATTAAAGTTGATGGGGAAGTAAGAAGCTGGAAGAGAGTTCCACAGGTGAGAAGTGCAAGATAAGAAACTGTTACCATAGAACTTAGTTACATTTAGCCATTTCAGCTGTAAAATGATGACACCTAGCTGCCAATCTAGTACTGCACTTAAATTCATAAAATCTATTATGATAAACATTTTGTAGGTACACGTGTGTCATTAGACCCCCCCCCATTTTTTTAATAGTAAATTTAATGTCAACTGGCTGAGAAATCAATAAGTCAGACAGAAGAAAATGTTCTTCCCAACAGGAATCAAATGCACTTGTTGTCAAGAGTTACATTTTATTGATTTAGTGATCTCTAGGCCAGTTGACATTAATTTCACTATTTAAAAATAACAAAAGGATGTAACAGGGAGTGAGCAATGAAAGAAAGATTTATTCTCCCATTTCAACCCTCCCCCCAGCATTGGCATTATTATGTCTGTTATATAATAAGACCGTATATCATGAGAATGACAAAATAACTGAATGGAAAAACAATGAAAAATGTGCTTTGTTCTCTGAGAAACATTTATATTACTAAGACACACAAAACTATATATACATATATACACTTGTCCCATGCAGAGAATAATATATCACATATATCTACACATTAAGCAGTGTGTAAGGAGAAACAAAAAGGAAGGGCCTTACATATAATATGGAGATACTCCTGTGTCTGGAGAAGCCATGTTTAGGATTCCAGATTCAAATGGGCCAGATTCTTCTACTATATATACCTCCACATATCAGCATATCATGATGAAAAAAGGCCCCAAACTCAATAGAAACTAACTTTTATCATCAAAATGTTTATTATTATTATTATTATTATTAAGAGGAAAGACCAAAGTATTTTTAATTATTTTTTTTTTTTGATGTTTTACTCCTTTCTAACACATTCGAAATTTTGGTTCAAAGTCTTGTTTTTTTGGGTTTTTTTATGCATTAATGGTGTAACAGCACTGACTATAGAAATTTTAGCATTTTTTCCAGTAAAATAATACATTGATTTGGAAATTCTTGAAAAAAATCAAATAATTGTTGGAATTTAATGAAACTTTCAGAATGAATTCACAACTGAATTAATTTATTTTTGAAATTATTATTTTTAGAAAATCTTGATAATTTTTTTTTTACATCTGTTAGACCCCCCCCCCACACACACACACACACACTTAATTTCATGAAGTTTCTAGAAATTAAATTCTGATCTCAAGATTTGTTTTATTAGTTAAATGCAGGACTCCTTCAAGAATGTAAATCATCCCTTTTTTTTTTTTCTCAAACAGTTACACAATTCTTGAAAATCTTTGAATCGTAAAACAAAAACTGCAATGAAACTATGACATTATTTCCTTAGATAAGCTTTTAATTACTTTTATAAATAATATATATTAAGGACATTATAGTCTGAAGAAAAAAACTTTTTTGATGAATAATGAATTTTTGCAAGAATTGTTTCTTTTTTTTATTATAATAATTTATAAAGTTTCAAATACCTTTTCAAAATTCTTCAAAACTTTGACATTGTTAGGTTATTAAGTGAAGACTATTTTTGCTAAATGACAATTGAAAAGCTTAATATAAATCATCATGCACCAAGATTTTTAAAATAATTTTTAATTTTTTTTTGTATATATCTGATGTGCCCATTTTGAAAGTATTGGTGACCATTATCAGAAAATAAGATTGATGACTATAGAAAATTTAAAGTCAACATTCCTAAAATTAGATTAGATAAAATTAGATATTTTCGACATTTACTGGGTACTTAAAAATTATATAAAAAAAGCATTCACCAGTCATTTTCTTAAATTATGTTTTAACAGATAAAGTCTCCATGGAACAATAATAAAACTGTCAACATCTTCAGAAGCACTTAAGTGATTTATGAGTGTTGACAAGTATGTAATCACTGCTACTGTTTGTTTTAAGAATCTATTTCTCTGTTATTTTTAACTTAAAGTAAATGTTTCAAGTCAGATTAATTATACTTCAAATCATCAAATATTCCTCAAATAAAGTTTCAGAAAAGTATATTTTATTTTTGGAAGATTTTTTTTAATAAAGAAAATTACATTGTGAGGACAGATGATTAAAAAAGGGCTCTAATCAGCTATTTTTAGCCAACAAAAAATTGAATTGGATTCTAATCAATATAATTTCTGTTTGAAATACACTACAGAATATTTTGCTTACTGGAAATAGTAAATTTAATCCTTTAGCTTTCAATGAAAGCTTGAAAAAAGGTTTTTTATTTTTTTTAAATTAATTTTAAACCTTGGGCATTGCAAATTATTCACAGTACCTAATCTAATATCTGTCAGGTTAGAAGAATGACTCTTCACAACTTTTCAGGCTAATGTTTTTTGCTGACCCAAAGTAGAAAAATTATATTGAATCAATTGCTAAGTCTTCTGCTAGGAAAGTTGGTTCACTGTGTTGTGCTAGACAATTTTTCTCAAATGAATCCATCTTACACATTTCCATTGAATATTGCTGTCATATCTGGTTTGGTTTTTCTACTAGAGATTCTTGATAAAATACAAAGAAGAATCTGCAATGTTATCAGTCCTAACCTGGCATATCAACTTCAATCATTTGTCCACCTCTATAATGTAGCTTTGATCTTTCTTTTCTATAAATATTTTCACAGTAATTATTCTGATGAGCACCTCAAGTTTACAAAATTAAATGCAGTACTAGAGTGGCATCTAGGTTTCATCATTTTACAGTTGTCATTGATGTAACCGTAAGTTCTATGCAAACAGTTTCTTCTCTCACATTTCTTACTTGTGGAACTCTCTTCCGGCTCCTTACCTTTCAATCAACTTAGATCTTCAAAAATTTAAATGCGATGTCAATCATTATCGTTTGTTTTCATAGTAATTGTTCTGATGAGCTTTTCTCTTTGGTACATTGATTTTATTAATTTAAGCACAGTACTAGATTGGCAGCTAGGTCTCATCATTTTACAATTGAAATGGTTAGATGTAATCCTAAGTTTCATGCTAACAGTTTCTCATCTCACACTTCTGGCCTCTTGCTTTCTAGTCAACTATGATCTTCAAAAATTTAAATGCAATGTTAATCATTATCTTCTGTCTTCTTAATTCCTGTTTTTTTTGTTTGTTTTTTTTCTCTCCTCTTAATGTTTCTTCTTTTTTTTTCTCATATTCTTTCACACTCAGTAATAACTTATGTCTTAGTGACTTTATTGCTTTGCTTGGGGTGAAATGATTTAAAAAAGAATATTGCTACTTAGGTATTTGACATTTTTCTTTCTTTTTTCTTTTTCTTTTTTTCATTAAGGCATATGCCTAGTCATGCAAGTCGGGAAATTTTGATCATCTTTGGTAGTTTGACAACCTGTGATCCAGGAGATGTCCTGGCCACAATCAAGGTAAATACAATAAAATATTTACAATTTTTTACAACTCATTTCAGACAAATCTAAATCATACTGCAATTGTTACTTTTCCATGAATGATAAGTGATAACTTATGACTAATCAATGATTTTTTTTGTCTCTGATGAGACAAGTATCTTAATTTTTGTTGTTTATATCATATCATTTCAACTGATATACTCTCCAGCCTTCTTCTTGTATATGGTAAACTTGAAGATACAATTCCTCTTTTCCAAATCTTTTTCTCTAATGATCTCCATGCAGAACAACTGAAGATTTTCCCTTGTATATCTTGTTTATCTGGAAAAAAATCTTCTCAACAAAATGCCACTTTGTGGAACAAACTCTTATATGGATGTTATCTTTGTAAACTTCACTCTCTTCTACCTCCTCTTATATTCAGTAACGTTCTACCACGAGTGGCTCTTGAGCCTTGTATTGAGTGAACCGTAGTATAAAAAATTTAATTTTACTTGTTTTTAGCACAATTCTCAAATGGTTGTATTCAAGAAAAGGGGGATAACTGCTGTAGTCTTATTTGAATAAATCAAATGAAGGGTTATCAATTGTTTTTTTGACTAGTAATTCTTTCATCTTAATTTTTCTTTCTTTCTTTTCTAGACAATTTCTAAATTTTCTTTTTCAAGGGGGATGACTGCTATAATAATATTTGAATTTAAATTCATTTAATTTTTGAATCCGAAATTTTCAACTTAATTTCAGCTGTTTTTTCTCACAATTCCAAAATTGAAACCTGTTCAAGGGAAATAATTGCTATAATATTAATTTCTCAGACAAAGCGTTTTTTTTTTTAATTTTTCACTAGCATTGCCACTCCAAAATCATGAGCAAGCAGCAAGGATTTAACATATATTCCTTGTTTTTCAAGAAACTATCTTTTTTTGGTAACTGCTTGATTGATTCTGCTATGATGTCACCAGTAGCAATCATTCAGATCTCACCACATTGCTTTTATTTCCCCTTAATGCTTGATACACTGCCATCTTTGTTTACATACATTATTAGTATTAATTTTGTAACATTATTCAAATTTCTTGTGTAAACCACTATCAATTCTTTTTTTTTCTTTTTTTCTTAGTATTTCTTTCATCATATTTTCAGTTACTTTTTATCATTTGTGAAATAGCAGTCTGGGAGTTGCAATAAGAAGCAACTTAAATTAAGATGAAGGAAAACTACACAAAAAAATATATATATATATATATATATATATATATATATATATATAATACGTGTGTGTGTGTGTGTGTATATATATATATATATATATATATTATAAATTAATTGATTTAAAATATGTTTTTTTTTTTTCAATTTGTGTAATGAAAAAATTTTACTTTAGTAATATTTAAATATAAAATTTAAAAAAAATCGTAATATACTTTAAATATACGGAAAAAAAAAAAAGGCCGTATGAATTTTAGCCATTAACAATATAATTTTAAAAAATCTAGATGACAGGCTTTAATGGAAGTTAGATTTCATTGAAAAAGTCCCACGACCCAAATGTAGCAATAAAATTAAATTATAGACATATTGAAAACCCAGCCACCCCTGTCCATTTATCTGTAACCTTGGAAACATGAATTTTGTTTTGCAGTATTTAAAACCCAGTAATTTTTGGTCCCAAAATTCACTTGGATGAAATGGAACTAATGTCTTTAATTTAATCACAAAAAAAGTGCTTTTAGCTTCCATTTTTTTTGAACATGGTTAAAACTGTGAAGGAAAAAAAAACATATTTTTCAATTAATTTATTTATTAATGCTCTGTAAATTTTTTAGCACTATTTTGTAAAAATAAAAATATTTTAAATCTTGCTGTTCTTTCTTTTGTTTTTTATATATATATATATATATATATATAATATATATAAATTATCTGTTGATATATTTGCATACTGATATCACTATTAAAAAGTGCTCGTATATATGACCCCACAAATATTTTCAAAATGCTTTCTTCTTTTGAAACTTTTAAAGATAATTAAAAACAAAAATTATCTGTTATGGAAATAAGCAGACTCTGAAATTAAAAAAGATTGAATCTATGGACTTCAAGGATTATATACATACTATTATACATAGCAACACAAGTTAAGCCTGCATGTTGACAGCAGTGAATGATCTCAGGCTTTTTCTCTTGTCTGGTATTGCCAATCGTTTCAGTTCGGCAATGTAAAACCTTTCTCTATCTATCATTCCCATGCTAGCTCAGTCAATCAAAATTGCCTTCCTTATTATGTCTTACATCTGACCCCAAAGGTCAAGCTTTGGAAGTCTGCCAAACTGTTATTTAACTTATATACACATACAAATACACAAGAGGGAGAGCATTTACATAATGGAGTCAAAAAATTACTCTTGGTAAAAAAAAAAATTTAGAGGACTAGTATGGCATTAACATAACATTTGTTACAGTGAACACAGTTCAGTTTCTTTAGTGGAAATGAAATGCAGATGGATCAGCCAGCTGCTACTGATAATAGTACTCACCCCTGTCAGTCAAAGAGACAACATTTAGTGTGCTGTCTCTGCAGAAAGACAGCACATTGCTGCCCTGCCAGTACAGAGTCACTGCAAACCCTGGAATATCCACTTGTGAAGAAAGTGTCAACCAGCTTCCCCATGTGATAATCAGGATGGTGTTAGCTATGCAAATGATTCCTTTGCTAGCCAACCATTAAAGTTTTAGGCTCCATAAAAGCAGGCATATTTTCTGTGAAGAGTTAGTGTCTGGTAGTGTACTGTGTTGACCACAAGACAAGATTGCTGTGCATTACCAAGGATTTCTGTTTGCGTTATCCAGCGTCGTTTCAGATTCGTTAATGCTTCATTGTTTGCATTTCCAGTGTCTCAGCTACGTTCATCCCATACACATGGTGCTCCATTTAGATGTCTTGTCCGTGCCCTGCTTGTCTTGATCCAGTATTTGATTCCAGCGCTTCTGAGTTTTCCATCCCTTTTCATTGGCAGATACCCAACCAATGAAGAGAAAATCCCTTCAGTTTCTTTGAGATAAAAATCAATTAACCATTTTAATATTCTCTAATCATTATATGTCTATTATTTTGTACTGTTGTTTGTTTCAGATGTTGAAAGATAATGCTATACGATGTTCTGTGATTGGATTGTCAGCAGAGGTGAGGGTTTGCAAGAAATTGTCACATGATACTCAAGGTAAGTCTTCCTTTTAATTGTCACATGTTAACATCTTTTAATAAATGTTTTATTTAATAAAAGTTAAAATTTTCTCTGAGAAATAGTATAATTCTGGACATATTCTTGACAATGGAATTTTCTGGAAAAATTATAGATGAAAAAGAATATGTCCACATAAATATCTTAGATGAAGAATTATTATTATTTACAGTTGAAGTAATGTCCTCATCTTTGTTACTACTGTACAGTGAGTGGTCTTGGTTAAGTGTAAATAAAATAGAACTGCCAACAGACAAAACTGACAAAGCTTGCAATAAACAATAACAAGAAAAGAACAAGGCAAAAAAATAATATAAAACAAAAAAAACAATACAGGGTGTCCATAAAGTTCGTGTTCACTTTAAAAATTTATAACTTTATTTCTATTTGCGATAGAAATAATTTGTAAAAAGGATTAGAAAGAAGTAAATCTATATTTTTTAAGGTTTTATTGAAATTTTATTTAAGTTTCCACATGTCCTCCATTATTAGCAATACAAAAGGTAATACGATTTTGCAGTTCACGGAAAACATTTACCAACTGATTTACAGTAATGCCTGAAATCACATTAGTTATTTTAGCTTTCAAATCTTCTAATGAAATAGGTTTGGTTGCAAACACAATTATTTTCACATGTCCCCATAGAAAAAAAATCTAATGGAGTCAAATCTGGTGAACATGGAGGCCAATAAAATGGTCCACCCCTTTCGATCCATCTGTTAGGAAATTCCTGATTTAGAAACTCTCTAACATGCAGAGCAAAGTGACAAGGAGCTTCATCTTGTTGAAATACTGTATTATAACATTTTTTACAAATTATTTCTATTGCAAATACAAATAAAGTCCAGATATAAAATTATAAATAGAATTTATGGACACCCTGTATATGCAATTCATATTAACAGTAATATAGCAAAAAGTTTACAAACTAAGAATTGGGGTTGACACACAAGCAAATTCGGATAAGCGAACATATAACATTGTGGTTTCAAGACCGAGACTGTTTCAGATGAGAACTGGCCTATTTTATTGGCTAGCAAGAAATCCCAGCATGCATTTGTGTGCTTCTATCTATAAATGGAAGGGGTTGCAGTCATTCCCAGTTGAGATCAGAACCAACAGCCATTGTGCTTTCTAGCCTTCTTCAGGTGTGTATTAATCCAAGGGAATTTTGGACTGAACCTTTTGTTCTGTCTACAATCCATAGGACAATGGCCTGGCAGATTAAATCATTGATTAGTGAATTTGTTGAGTTCAATCCCTAGGTTAAGTAGTATGGATATACTCAGTGGAAACAGGACTATCAATAGGTGAACAATTAACCAAGACATGACATCCCTAGACAAAGAACAATCTACTCCTATAAATTGAATAAAGGATTCCGTTAAAAATTCTCTAAATATTACCTGGAACAACAGATAACTGAAAAATGCCAGAGGGCACAATGACTAAGATGCTGTTGTTGTAACAACACAGACAAAGACTTTTCTACCTGGATTTCTAGAATGAGGAGTTAGTATCATTTACATACAGACTATTGCTCTCATCTGTTGTTGTTATCATGGTGTGGTGCCTTCCGGCCTTCATCAGGCATATTTCAATCTAGGTAACCTACGGATAATTTCAAACTGAACCCTTTATTTAATCTACAGGGGTAGATTGTTTACATCACAATGCTAATTCTATGGATTGCTTATCTAATTTTTATTTTAGTACTTCTCATGGGGCAATAGCCTAGTGGATTTAAGTATTAGTTTGTGAATTTGGTGATGTAGTAATTGTGAGTTCAATCTCTGGATACTTGAACTCTGTGGAAATGTGGCGAGCAGTATTAAAATAAAATCTAGATGAGATATCCCTTGATATGGACAGGGGAATGAGAACAATTTACTCACATAGATTAAGTAAAAGGTTCAGTTTAAAATTCCCTGTAGGTTACCTGGATCAGCATACACCTGATTAAGGCCAGAGGGCACAATGGTCGAAACATTGTTATAACAACAATAAAAAAATCTATGCAAGGAAAAAAGAAAAGTAGTAAGAGTTCATCATTTCCACAAATCAAAGAAAAAGAAAAAAAGAAAAAAGGCTGACCTGTTTTTTTCTTTCTCGCTCTTCAGAGCAATTTTAAATCCTCTTTTGATCCTCAAAAAGTGAAAAACAAAAATTGTTCAATATCTGTCTACATTTCCGAGGTGAGGTATTGTAATTATTTACACTATTTACATTGTTCAGACTGTTGTCCTCATCTTCATTGTCATATTCACAACGTTTTTTGGCCATTATAGACTCCAGCCTTCTTCAGGTCTTCAAGGACACATGGGCCAGTGAATTAAAGCATTGGTTGAATCCAGTCACTTGACCAAAGAGTTGCAAGTTCAATACCTGACTACAGCAGAAGTGAACAAAAACTTTGAGTTGAGTTAAAGGGAGATAACTGATACTGAGACATCAAAATAAAGGAACTAGAACAATGTACCCTGGTGGATGAAATAAAGGGTTGCGTTCCAAATTCCAGTCACCTGAAGAAGGCCAGAGTGTATGAAATGTTGTGAATATGGCAACAAAAATGAGGACAACAGTCTGAACAATGTAAATAGTGTAAACAAAAACTGTTCAGCCATTTTTTTTCTTCATTCTTTTTGATTTTCCTTTTCTTGTTTTTTTTTTTCTTGCTTTTTAATGAAAAAGAATTTGTTTTAATGATTATAATACAATTTGGTACCCCAGATGAAAATATATCACTGGAAAGGGTTTGTTCACTCAAAATGCACAGCTGGACCCTTTAATGAAAACTCTTTAAATTTGGTTTGTATATTCAAGCGAATGTTTTAATTCTGATTTATCTTTATAGCAGTAACTGTTTTTCTATAGATTTATCTTTCATAGTAACCATTTGCAACCATTCAGTTCAAGATTATAATTTCTCTTCATTTCTTAATATCCAGACAAGAAAATTATTTCTGTGCTTTGGAAAAGTAATTTTACTGAACAATTTTTTCCCAAAATCTACTTTTTTTTTTTATGGGACAATTGGAATCTAGTTTGTTTTTCTTTTAAACAACTAATTAAAATTTAAGATCATTTTTGTCAATGTGAATAATGATGATAACTAATTTTAATTGACAACAAAGTTTGTAAAATAGACATTTCTTAAACATTTCATTTGTTTTACATTCGTATAAGAACTTATTTGGAATTACTTTTCAGAAGTAAGAATTTTATTGTCATTATAAATTCAGCCGCAGTCAAATTCCTAATCTTTTACCACATGTAGATGCATACTTCAGCTAGGTAATAAATATCTGAAAAATATTGGAAAATTTATTGGAAAAAGAAAGACTTTAACTTGTTTGGCTTTTAATTTTAACATGATTTCAATGAATTATTTCTTTTTTTTTTTTTCTTTTTTTTTTCCAGGGGATTATAATGTAATCCTTGATGAACCTCACTTTAAAGATTTATTGAATGCTCATGTGAGCCCACCTCCGGCATCTGTAAGTCAGAAATATCTGAGTAATATTTCAGTATATAAAGTTTCATTACAAGTTCATTTTTCTTTCAGATATTAAAGTTATTTTTTTGAAAGTGGTCAATATGACTTAAATAGTTCCATCTTCATTGCTTGATACATATGGCTCATTAAAATTTGGAAATTAAAGAGATATTGAAAAGAAAACTTCAAGGAAGTTTAAATTTAGAAAATGCAACAGTAACTGCTAAGAAAAAACAAACATTTGTTTTTTTGTTTTGTTTTGTTTTTTTTTTTTTTCAAAACTATCTCTCTTTTTAAATTCTTCCCCCTTTTTTTTTTTTCTTTTTTTTTTCAGAAATTTTGAAAAAAAAATCATTATGATTCTAGTTGTTCTTTAATTACTTAGACCATACATTATTACCCTTGTAATAGCTTGCCTGTCTCCTACCCACAAATTTAACTTGCCTGTCACCTGCCCAAGAATTCAGTTTGCCTGTTCCATAAGGAGGCATAGTGGAGTAATGGATAGCGACTCCGATTGAGGAATCGGAGAGCTGAGTTCAAATTCCAGTCAAATCCATTACATTCACTTACATGCTAATACCCTTGGAAAAGGTATGAATCTTCTTCTTCTCTCCCCAGCTATGGGTAAATAGCAGGACAGACAGGGTTTTATAGCCTTGGATGGTAAATGGTCTACCGCAGAAAGAAATGGCAAACTACTGTGGGAAAAAATCCACCTTGTCAGTCATGTATCAAAAGATACATGATTGCCTAAGCATGTATCACACATGGCACATAACTGACTGTTCCCTGTCCACAAATTCTTGGCATATCAACAGCAGACAGAATAAATCTCTAACCCTTTCTTTTGATTTCCTGCAAGCCTCATTTTAAGTTACATTGAAGGTTTTATATGTTTGCAGAAAGAAAGAGCAGATAGAATAAGTGAGAATGTCTTCATACATTTAACATCTTCTTCAGTGAAATGGCGTATTAATGAAATATGTCAGGCTGAATTTTTTTCCGTTTGATCATTTCACCCCACACAAGGCAATAGAGCCACTAACACACACAGAGTTACTGAGTGTGAAAGAATATAAGAAAAACATTATTAAGGCATATTCCAAAAATGATATATCTTACATTGCCTGTTGTTGTATATATACATTTTCAACACACCATGAAATATTGGCGCTCAATACTAATTCCAAGCATAGACATATAGGAATGTATAATGCAACCTGTTCTGCAACATATTTTTATTATATTGTGCATTGGGAGGAGGAATCAATCAAAACCAAAATAGGCACTTATGAGAAATTATTGTCAGTGTCTAAATGCCCAGCAAATAGATTCAGTTTTTTTCTTTTTCTTCCACAAAAAAGAGCCAGCACAGTCAGGCAACATTACAGCTGTGTAAGTGTTAATAAAATGTTTTGGACTGATTGATTTTGATAGCAGTACACATTTGATAACATTATCCATGATTATTACAAAAATCTTCTGTATTTAACTTTAAATCTATATTATTAAACATTCAAATTTCAACTTTATCTTTACAGGGAAACACAGAATCTTCTTTGATTAGAATGGGTAAGTGTTTTCTTGATTCTACATAACTATATATTAAACAATAGCTGAAAAGTAGGAGGTAAAACAGCTGGGGAAAAATTAAATGAAAACCAGGGTAAAAGAAATATATATATATATTTAAGCATAAAATTGTTTAATACCATCATTGTTAGCCACCTGAAGAAACGTTTGATTTTAGCATTGAAACAAAATGTACAATTTTATAATGGATTGTTTACCTACTTCACACCACTGGCGAGTATTGTATTTTGTTGATGTTATCAAGATTACCATTTCATTTCCAACCTCCATTTTGGTTATTCCTAATTCAGTAACCTTTTCTAGGTTACAACAAGAACTAAATGCATAACACAATATTTTTTCCACTCATATATATATATAGAGAGAGAGAGAGAGAGAAAGGGTGCGATGGATAAATTATCGTCTAAATTCCACAAAAATGGAAATAACTGATATCAAATTTTAACAGATATATTTACCAAAATTACACAAAAATATCTTGAAATACTACAGTAAATTTATTCAATAAAATCGCTCTCTCATTCAACTGTGCCCCACACATAAGGGGGTTGCTGTCTGCAGAGTTAGGTAGCCAGATGTAAGGGGTGATGTGGTTGTAGAAATTGTCTGATAGCGATGACTGGGTTTTCCTGCTAGTGTGGCATGATGCAGAGTCCTGTTGCCAGACATAGGGTTTTCTAGCAGCCACCATCATGGACCAGAGCAGCACTACCTCCTCAAGGCACTGTGTTAAGTCTGAGGCCCTCATCTACAAATTCAGTTCTTTTCTTATCAGAATGATCAGAGTGTGTTTTCCGAGCTTCCATACCTTCGTAATCACCATCAGAATCATCCAACTCTTTCCAAATCTTCTGCACTGTCTTCAGATTGACATCCAAACACTCTGAAATGTTCATATTGGAGCTTCCGGCACAAATACCAAGCAATACAGCATGCTATTTCCAAATTTCTAACAGAGTAAATTGTGTCATGATGATCTTTTTCTCACAGACGGTGCCCAACTGACCTTACTATATTGTGCAGTTGGTAAAACCAAAACTACACAAAATTAAAGATATAAAATGGTAACATTTTACCTGTCACACTCTGTATATACATATATATGTAAAAATTTAACAGTATATCTATAAAAAGACAATATGAATAAAGACAAAAGGAAAACTTATCAGATTTGTTTCATCTTCTGTAGGACTTTATCAAGACAAATGCAAGGATTTTATTTTATAACACATTTCTATGCAGGAGCAAAAATGTTATTGGTTTTTGAGAATTTTTGAGTTGGGAACACTCGTCAGTATTCATCAGGTTAACTGAAACACTGGGCAAGTTATGGGGGACACAAAGTGATACAATTCAATGTCTTTCTTTCTCTTTTTTTAATTTATTTTCAAATTAGTATTTAAATTAATTTAGTTTTCCTAAAAGAATTACTACTTCACCAAGCCAAGATACATGACTATACACACACACACACTATATATATATATATATATATATGTGTGTGTGTGTGGAGGAAATGGTTAGAACGTTCGCTTTCTGACCATGTGACCCAGGTTCGAATCTCACCATGGTCAGTTTGTCAGGAAAGAGACTTTCTGATGTTATCAGTCAGAAAGGGGAATGATCCCAGCATGCGGCACCTTTGGAAAGTGCCTGAAGACCATATCACGGGTTGACCCAAGACTTGTGAGTGAAATTGGGTAGACAGAACACTTGGGGTCACCGATAGCTGTTCTAGCACGAATTCATGTCATCATGACCAAGGGTTTGAGTGTGCTGGTGTTGTTCATATTGTTGATCATTTAGATAACATGCTCTCTCCCAGAAACTGTAACTAAGGTCAGTTCAGCATAGTTGCAGTATAAACCACAGGTTGGCTCTGTGAATGTTGAACAAACACAAATGTGCCTGAGCGAGCCTCTGCAATAGGGGTTGGCTAGCTGCTCTAATAGACGGATATCCTTGAATACAAGTGGCCAGCTATTATTATATATATATATATATATAGTTTTAAGGTATGCTATATTTATGGGTAAAAATGCTAAATAACAGGGATAAGGAAAACTTATCTTCACTGCTGTGTTTCATCCTCTGAGGAACTTTATCAAGATATTTCCCCCTTGATAAAGTATATCAGAGGACAAAACACATTGGCTAAGATAAGTTTTTCTTTTGGTCTTTATTCATATTGTCTTTTTATAGATATATATTTTAGTTATATCTGAAATTTTATACACATCAACATATAAGAGTAGAGGACATTATTAAGGTGAGAGAACAATACCAGAACAGAAATTAAAAAGAAATAATTGACATTACATTTAAATTTTTGACTGAGAAGCAAGAAGCCAGAAAAGAGTTACATAAACAAGAAGTGTAATAGAAGAAACAGTTAACATAGAACTTACTGTTAAATCTAGCCATTTCAACTGTCATGTGATGAAACCTTGTCACTAATTTAGTAGGGATTAATATGTTTAAATTCTAGGTACCAAAGAGAAATGCTCATCAGAACAGTTACTATGAAAAACTAGAAAAAACACTGGAAGCTATGTTATGACGGTGGGAGGTGACTGAAGTTGAGATGCCAAGTCAGAACCAATAACATTACAGATTCTTCTTTGTATTTTATCAAGAATCTCTAAATACGTCATAGAAGCACCAGACCAAATATGACAACAATATTCATTGTATGATAAAATAGACTTATAAATATGTAAGATAGATTCTGGCAAGAAAAAATGTCTAGCACAACACAGCGAATCAACCTTCCTAGCAGCAGACCTAGCAAGTGATTCAATATAATCTTTCCACTTCATATCAGTTGAAAACATTACCTCAAGAAGGTGCAACAAGTCACTTTCCTGGAGGTTAGTACCAGCCATACTGATAGAAGGCAAAAAGTTCTCTCAAACAAAAGAACAGTTTTGTTTTGGTGGTGTTAAAATTAGCAAGCCATTTCTTGCCCCAGTTAAAAACAAATTCTCAGTCATTTTTGAGATCAGCTACTAAATATGACTTTATGGAATTGATCAGACTTACTATTAAGACAGGAGTAAATAAGTAAATAAGCATAAGTACCAACTTGAGAACGGATGACAGGAGTAAATAAGTAAATAAGCATAAGTACCAATTTGAGAACAGATGACATGAAGAGGGTAGTTTATGAAAATTAGAAACAATGTAAGTCCAAGGATAGAGTCCAGGGGGACAACAGCATTAATGCAAAAAGATATAGAAGAAATTCCTGTGAAATTTCCAAGTGTCCAGTTTATTATTATATGAAGACTCATTTTTCAAACATTTAAAAAATGATTAATTACATTTTTATTTATTTCATTAGGTTTTCCACATCATCAACAGAATGTTGAAAAAGACAAGGAGGAGCGGCCATCAATGTGTATGTGGTAAGTAAATTTCTAAACTACAGTTGATTTTCTTAGAAGATAATACCATCAAATTCCTGATTGTTTGTGTCAGTATAAAAATTATTTATACTTATTAGATATGCAGCCTTTAGTTCTTTTAATCACCATTTGTTGTATATGTGGAGGAGGTTGTAATGAACTGTTCTCAACATGGACTGAGCATCATTTTTTTCTCATGATTGTATTTGTATTCTATTAATATTTTAACAAAAATCTGATATGTGTGTGTGTGTGTGTGTACATATATAATCTCCAGATGAGAACAAATAGAGTACAATTTCAATGTTTGTAACATTTAATTTAAAAGAGGGTTCAATACAAAGTAGAGCAATATTATTCATTTTAGGATATTACACCGAAAACACGTCAAAATTGCTACACAATTGCAGTTTTGTTTTGATGCATATCAATGCATCTCATCAGGCAATTGTAAATTACTGTCGAGTGAATGATTTATTTAGATTTAAAAGCAAAATACAATCTCTTTTTACGAAAATAAAAAAAATAATGTCAACCCAATGTATATTCACCTCAATTCTAACCACCCTCCATTTGTAATCCAAGATATACCTTCATCTGTAGAACATAGGATTAGCAACCACTCATTGGACAAAAATGTGTGGTTATAAGTACACTGAAATCAAATTTAGAGAATATGATGATAGTGGTCCAAAGAAAAGAAATAGGAAGATCATTTGGTACACACCTCCATTTAATCAATTAGTCAGTAATAAGTTAGACCATAAGTTCCTCCAATTGATTGATAAACATTTTCCTAAAAGTAACCCTCTTATTAAAATATTTAACAGAAACAAAACTAAGTTATAGCTGCACCAATAATCTTGAGAAGATTATAAAGTTACACAATAAAATTTTAAACCAGTTTAATAATCTGAATCATAATACGTGTTCCAAGAAAAATATTATTAATGATACTAGCCAGTGTAATTGTAGGAATTCTGACCAATGCCCATTGCCAAACAAATGTTTAACTAAATCTCTTGTTTATCTTTGTACTATCTTTACACTAGAGAATCTGACAGTTGAAAAATTCTATATTGGAAGTACCAAGAATTTTTTTCAAGACTAGGTGGTATCAACATATCTTGTCTTTCACCAATATTACTTACAGAAATAATACATCATTTTCTAAATATTTTTGAAGTTTAAATTATGATAAGACTCCTAAGGTAAAATGGAAAATTTTAAAAATGGTACGGACATGTAGATCTTTATATGAACCCTGTTTTCTGTGCTCACATAAAAAATTGGAAATTATCAGATTCAATAAAAAATCCCTTATTAAATCAAAGAAATGAATTAACAGTAAATTGTAAACATATTTTACCTTTTACCTTACAATTTAGTTAGGAATTTGATTATGCTTTTCCTTGTATTTGAGTTGTACTGCATTGCACCATATATGGCTTGTCTTTCTATTTGTAAGATTAATTTGGATTTAATATAATTTTGTATTAATCTCCTGGTAGTATTAACAACGTCTTGTATGGATGTATTGGTATTTGGTTGGTATTTTTGACATTTTACATTGATTGGCTAGTGTTATTAACACCTCATATGAAAAATCTTTATTCAGCAGTTGCATATTAATTTACCAAATAATTCTATACGTTTAAATTATTTACTAGTTTCTTCAAGAAGTTATTTTACTTATTATAAAACGCAGATTGTGTGTGTGTGTCTGTACGTTTATATATTGGATCGGATTTCCAACATTTTTCAGCCAATTTCAACAAAACTTCACAGGACTACGTAAAATTACCTTGCAGTGGTTCTGACAGCGCCAAAAATTGGAAAAATACAATTGTTTTTGCATGAAATCAGTTTGAAAACACAATAAAACATGATTCTGTCACCAGAATGAAAGGGGGACAACTCATATCGAGTTATACTTATAAAACCCAGGTTGTTTGAGTGTGTGTGTGTGTGTGTGTTCGTTTATATATATATGGGATTGGATTTCCTACATTTTTCAACCGATTTCAACAAAACTTCACTTTTTTTTTTCGGCAGGTAGTGTTTCTTATTGTCTTGCACACTTTTTTCTTTATTTTTACATTGAGAATGCTTTAAATATTCCATTTACAAGACAATTGTTTGTAATAAAATTCTATTCAATCGGTAAACTCATAACGATTGAAAACAATGTTTTTGTTTGAGTTTGGGTTTGACCAATTCGTAAAAAAAAACAAAAAAAAAACTAATTAAGACATGCGTGTCCGTCAACCTTAAACAATAATCTTTGTCAATTTTATTTTTCAGTCTTTATGATGGTTGATACTTGATCTATTTCTTACTGTTACATCCCCGGGCAACGCCGGGCTCTACTGCTAGTCAACTATAAAAAATGTTTATGTAGGAAATTCACAAAGCATATAACTTGTTTAGCATTTTGTTAAATCATTTTTCCACCCTATTTTTATTTCTTAGGAAACAGCATTGTCTAGTTTGTATAATTTATGTAACCATTTACATCCACGCTAGTTTGTGTCTGGCTGCCATTAGTTGCCATTTTATGGGCCATGACCCATTTATAAAAAATAATTTTTGCTTCTTTGCTTAGTTTAAATTTAATCTAGGTCATATTTGATTGGTTGATCAGAGTAAAGCCCACAAAACTTATAACCCCCCACCTTTTTTTTTCTTAAAAAGAAGTTATATTTTGCTTTAAAATCTAAATCAAGGGTTAGCAACCTACGGCCTGTGGGCCGGATCCAACCCTTGGAGGCATTTTGACCAGTCTGCGGGCCTTTTTACCAATGACTCTATTTTTAATATGAGAGACGACCTTCAACTGAAATTTGTTATATATCATTTTCCATAAAATGTCTACACATCTCAGTGCACTAAAAATATTAGACTATCTGCCAGTTATCTTTCATGAGACTTATTTTACTAAGTTGCGTTGCCTACGTTTAATGTCAAATAATGGATACATATTTGTTATGACCCTTGGCTACATTAAAAGATAACAGAAGCGAAAGGAACGATAAAGTGAAAGAGGCCAGGGAGGGACTGACACACGAGGTAGCAGAAATCTAAAGACAGTTAAACATACGCGCATTATACATACATGCCTCATGAATGTGTGGATGATACCGCATGTGTACATACGTAAGTGTATATATAACTATTTGTACTCGTATGTATGGGTATATGTGCTTCGTTTTTGTTTGATGTGTGTGTGTGTGTGTGTGTGGTTCATTTGTGGAACAATTTTCAATAACAGTTTCAAACCTACATATCATAATTTCATCCATTTCACTTCGGTTGATTTTTTTTCACTTTGAAGTATTTTGAGGTTCCTTGAGGAAAAGTAATTTTTGTTAGGTGTTTTTTAATTTTAGATTTTCTTTTGTTTTTCTGATTTCTCAATGTTTATTTTCATTATGGTTTTAAATATTTAGGCTGACAGGGGTCTGCATATGTAATTTTCCTTGCCGACCCCTGATCTAAATCATTCACTCACCTGTATTGGTATGCATCGAAACACAACTGCAATTGTGTAGTGATTTTGACATGTTTTTGGTATAATATCCAAAAATATATATATAGATAGAGAGAGAGTGGGGAGGGACAAAGTTTGTCATTCTTATTGCTGATCACCACAGGCTTTGCTGCAAGCTTTAAGCATTTATTAAAAAAGTTTAATCCTTAAGCATTTTTTAAAAAATACCTGTGCTAGAAAAGGTTTCTGTATATTGTGCATTTAAAATAAGGAATTATCATTCATTAATGACCACTGATAATAGATGACATTTGAAGTAATAAAAACATCAAATTAAAAATAAAATACATTAATTCTTTAGAAATACATACATACATATATATATATATATATATATATATATATATATATATATATATAATAAATAATGTAAGTAACCTTTTACATTCTCTACTTTGTATTGAGCGCATTTAATTGCCAGCTTTATCACAATTAGAATTTTACCAACTAAATTTATGTTGCTAGGATTACATATGCTCCTAACAGCACCTCTCTGTTGTGTGTATGTGTAGTCTTAACAATAAATTTAGTCTGAAGTCCTAAGGGATGAAATGTGTCACAAGTAAACTTTTTCCACTTTCTCATTCAATTTTCCCAATACTCTTCTTGATATATAAAATATACATTGTTATATATGGGTAAATAGCAGAACAGACTGGGTTCTATAGCCTTGGATGGCAACTGGTCTAGGAGAAGGACAACTCTGAATTCAGAGTGGAGGATTGTTTGGGGACCTTGTGATATATGGTGCACCAGGTCTGTGTATTCAGCTCTTTAAAAGTGTGGTTGGTTCTTCACCACTGTAATCAAGTCATATGTGGTGGTGTCTGGTTGTTGGTTCTTAGGAACTGAGTTGCTTGACACTCATACATCAAAAACAACGGGAGAGTCCATTTTATATATATATATATATATATATATATATGCGTGTGTATGTGTAAGAGTGATTTACTTTAGTTATATGCTCCTTCCCTTTTCCTTTTTTTTAAATCTTGGCTTTTGACTTAAACATTAACCTTTACCCCAATTAAAGTACATGTAACCATCTCAATAGTGAACCACAAGAAAAACTAGAAAGCTTAATTAATAAATATCAATATTAGAACTACCAAAGCTGTGGTAACCATTGGCAGATATAAGAAACAATGTTACAAAATGTTGAAGAGTGAAGCTAAATGAAAAGAATCATAAGCACATGCTTTATCAATTCTGCTTTATTGCCTTGAAATGTGTTGTAGGTGTCTCTAGTGAAATGGCACAGTGTTATCTATATGCACTTCCTACTTGAGATAACACAAGAAATATATAAATTCTTTTCAGTCAAAGGAGACCACAACGATGGTATGTTTGTTGTATAGAGACTGTTTGCTTCTTGACTCATAAAAAACCACAAGAAACAAAAAACAAGAAAATATAAACAAATAGAAAATATATATAATACTTATTATTAAACCATTAGTATACATTCAAATATTATTAAACCATTAACATATGTTCAAATATTATTAAACCATTAACATATGTTCAAATATTATTAAACCATTAACATATGTTCAAATATTATTAAACCATTAACATAGATTCAAATATTATTAAACCATTATAAAATGAAAATCATTAATTAGTCATTATTAAATCATTAACTATGGTTGGTGTCACTGAGTTGCTGTTTTCAACTATGGTAATTTTCAATGTGAGGACATTACATTTTAAATAAATTTTTTCCTTTAAATTTTTGTTCTTGAATATGATTTTAAATTGTGTAAATAAAAAATAAACCTTGCTAAAGAAAATGGTTTAGAACAGGGGTTGGCAACCTCCGGGCTATATCCAGCCCACAAAGGATTTTTGTCTGGCCCGCCAACTTAACAACTGGACACTAATTATCTAATTAATTTATGGAGCAAGTGGCAGAAAAATATCTGTCAGAGTTCATCCATTTATAATTTGATGGATTTTTAAAATCAAAATTTAATTCTGAATCCACTGCTGACTTCTACAAGAAATATGTTTTGCCAAGTGGAAAATATAAAAGCCTATTGAACAATGCGAAAATAATGGTTTCATTATTTGGAAGTACATTTGCTTGTGAACAACCTTTTTCGAAAATGAAATCTGCTAAAGGTCGTTTAAGAACAAGGTTTGGTGATGACAATTTGGATAATTTTTTGCTCCTGTCATCGACAAATATTTCACCTTATGTAGAGATGTTATCAAATAATAAAAAGAAACAAGTGGTCTCATTAAATAATTTGCTATTTCTAACTGTATTTTGTTTGTTGTAAGAAATTTGCATTTTTTTGTTGATTGTGTTAGTTTGTTAACCTGTTATTCCTGCAGTAAAATAAAGAACCTTGTTTAAATGATATAGCATTAACTTTGTTGGGTTTTGTTTAAACCTCCAGATTAAGGCAGCCTTCTGGATAGAGCAGTCTGAGGTCAAGACAATTTATTATAGTACATTTGATATAATGGCCCTCCTCCAAGACACTGCATAGTTTTTGGCCCACTCTCTCCAAAAGGTTGCTGACAACTAGTTTAGAAGGAAACTAAAAAGTATAAAAAAAAATATTTATTTTGAAAAATCCACACTTGTGTGGTAGATCATTTTTACAAAATTATTTCAATAGATTTAAAAATTTATAATACATTATCAGTATTGATTTCCTTTCTTTTGAAATCCAATGTTCTAATAATAGCAAAAATAAAAAAAATTCTTTTTCTTCTAATGAGATACTTACTTTATGCATTTGATGGTTTGTGTGATAATGACCTCATTCATAAATTCTTCTTTCCTATCAGATAATAAATGTAAGCTTTTTGATTTTCAAGTGTGGCATCAGCAGCAGGGAGGCAATAAGAACATTAGTTTAAAACTCCAAGTTCTACATTCAAGATTCTCCCCTGAGATAATAACCTACCACATTAAAGCTTTACTTCATGAATTCAATGGGATGTGCGGGTGGTGTAATGGATAGCAGTTAAGAATGAGAAATCAGAGAGCCAAGTTCGAACTCCAGTCTGGTTCATTACATTTAATTACATGCAAAATACCCTTCGGAATTGTACAAATCTGTCTTCTCATTTCGGCTATTAATTGTATTTGGAAAAAATCATTGTTGTTTTCCAAAAAATTCTTAATGCAATATTCACTCACAAAAACATAAAAATAATTATTCTTGCAATCCAAAGTATGTTTTAGCTTTAAATAACCCACAAAGAGTTGATAAACTGTAAATAAAACCATCAATAGTAATAGTGAGTTCAATCCCTGGGGTCAGTAGTAAGTGGAAACAGGGCAAGCAATAACTGAGCAGTATGAAATAAGGACTAGACGAGATATTCCCTCGCCATGGACCATTCTTGGTATGACCATAAACTACATCTGTTAGCATGGCCTCTGATCAGGAGGTTTTGAGGCGCATGGAGCCACCTCTCAATTGCTGCTGTTCCCAGATCCACCCTGACTCAGAGTGGTAGCACCAGCTATGGGCAAATAGTTAAAAAATAGTTTCTAAAATAAAAATATAGAATCTATTGTAAAATACATTTTTGAAAAAAGAATTGCCATCAATAAATCTGAGTTTTGACAAAAACCCTCTTTACAAAAATACATCAATGAAACCTTATCTATAAACTGATTTCTTACAAAGCATACATCTTCTATTCATATGAACCTATCCTAAAAATTTTGTTGGCATAAATAACCCATTGAGGTGTTGATATGTCATAAAACAAAATAAACCAAACCTAGACATGGACTGCAGGATGGAAACAATCTACCTGCATAGATGAAATAAAAGATGCAGTTTGAAATTCCTTGAAGTTTACCCAGGTTGACAAGCACCTGAAGAATGTCAGAGGACACAATGGCGGAAACACTTTGATAACAACAACAAAGACAAGGATGTTAGTCCAAATGTAAATAAATCTAAATTTGTACACTATTTACATTATTCAGACTATTGTTCTCATCTTTGTCGCCATATTTATTACAACGTTTCGGCCATTGTACGCTCAGGCCTTCTTCAGGTGGTTGGAATGTCAAACTGAACCCTTTATTTCGCTCACTGGGGTAGACTGTTTTTTCTTTTCACATAAATTTTAAAATATTACTTTTTTGGTAATATTTATTTGATCATAGACACTCCTAAAGTTTGGTAATAATTTACAGCATTAAATATTTTATTTGTACTAAATTATCAATAACTAATACTTTATTTATGCAGTCTATACGTTATTCTAAATTAATATTTTCTAAATTAAGAGGTTAATGCCTATAATACTGATTATTTTTTAACCCATTAAAACCTGCCATAATATCCAGCATTAATTATAGGGTTCTACCTATAACCCATCAATACCCACCATAAAACCTGGTATTAATTATAGGGTTCTACCTATAACCCATCAATACCCACCATAAAAACTGGTATTATAGGGTTCTACCTATAACTCATTAATGCCAACTATCCTCAAACTAGGAAAAGAACATATTGAGATTTTAATGTTAAAATAATTTCAAAACTGTGTATTTTGAACCTGTGAGATGATAAGCAAACTGGATTTAATACAAATTAACTTGAAAGATTGGAACAGTAAACAAGAATGATAGTATTAGAGGTAAAATGCCATATGGGACACACTATTTTTTCTATAAAAAGAAAAACAAAAAAAATCTCCATAAATCACCTTTACATCTTACTAAACCAACACCAAAATAGCCTTGTTTGATACCCTAGCTCCTCTGATGACCCCAGAATTAATTATATACAACTATAAGTAATTATCTTATAATTACTAATCAAAATACTGTTAAAATATAAAAGAGCTCCTGTTTGATACATCAGTCACCTGATAAACTCAGAATGAAATACATACGATTATAAATGATTAAATTTGGATTACATATTGAAATAATGTTAAAATATAAAAGAACTCTGGTTTGACATATGTGTCCTCTGATGACCCCAGAATGAAATATATATGATTATAAATGATTACATTATGATTACAAAACAAAATAATGTTAAAAATAAACTATATATGAGTGGGTACTGAAAAGTTTTTAGTTTAGCCAAAGGAGATTTTTTTTTAATTTGATGTCAGTTGGTCAGATTTTGGGAAGAGTTTCAAACCAAGAACTTTTCAGCAGTCCTTTTATAAATATGGATGACTCACCAATTCAATATTATTAGTACTTAAAGATTCCTGTCAAGTTATAGATATGTGTTATGTACTTAGAAAGTCTTTAATTAGTACTAGTTTGGCAAAAAAAAATGCAGGGAATAAGAAACTTTATTTTTGGAAAAGTGAAGGGTCAGGGTTCAAAAAGAGAAATCTATTTGTTTTCTTTCCTCAATCTTATTTTTTCTCCTTTTAGTCATCTTGATGACAAAGCAACGCAAAACTTCAGCAGTGGTGGTTATTTTTGTCCACAATGTCGGAGCAAATACTGTGAACTTCCTGTTGAATGCAAGTCTTGTGGTTTGTATATCTTAGTCATTTTATGCTACCAATTTATTACTACCTGTTTCTGTTTTTTTCCAATTGTTGCCACTCCTTGTTGACTTCAGAATTGTAAATGGTATAACAACTAGTTTTACTCTTTTTCTTTTAATCAGTCTTAATAAACAATGTCATTCAAAACTTGCTTTTGTATGCCATCTAAAAAGCTATTTAAAAATTTGATTTATTTTTAAAAGTTACCTGTTGCTTTTTAATAATAACACACACACATATATATATATATATATATATATATATGTAAGTGGCAACTCTTGGGGAGGGGGGCTTAGCCTGAGTGCGTCAACATTCACATATATCTATTCCAAAGCAACAAACCTTTTTCGTAGTACATCGTTTTCATTCTTGACTTTGGCTGGATTCAAAATTAATTGTTTTAACTCCATGCCTCAAAATGTAGACCAAAATACATTTTGTTGATATTGTTCATCATAAAGAAAGAAAGAAAAAAACACAAAGAAAGTAAGTAAAAAAAGAATGAAATAAAATTAACATGGTTAGTTGGGCTGTGTATATCTGAGCCCTATCAGGCTGGAAACATACTTAATAAGCAATGTATTTCTTGCTTTAATTTTATAAATAATTTTTGAAAATCTCTAATGACTTGTCTGCCCTGTTTTTCAAATGACACATTTTTATTTCAACTTATTGTTTTCAAATGTCCATTTTTAAATTATTTATTTTATACAATATAAGTTTTTTTAGTGGAATGTATCAATTGAAAAAAGAGCAAGTTAAATTTTGCCCAACTTAAAATCAGAGAAAATCAATGAAAGTGGCAGCCTTAACGAGTCAACTGGAGGGTTGAAGTCAGGAGTGTGACTGGGATAGTTTTGAGGAAATATGATACCAGTAAATTATTCCAATCTCTGCCATCAGTTGCTTGATAACCAGGCTATAAAACAATAAAAATGGAAAGGGGGCAATAAACAGACAAACATATCAGAGACTTTGTCCTCACTCTTTTACTTACCTGTCTGGAAAAAATGCACAGAGATTTTTAAAAATTATATACTTTAGTTAGATGCTAAAATTATTCCTTTATTCTAAGTTATACCAATAGTATATTTCGCTAAAAATTGTATTGAGCCCAACAAACATTGATAGCCTAGATATATATATGCGCACCACCAGAAAATTTAATTCCAGTCAAGCACTCTAGAGAGAAAGCACAAATTTTTAAACAATGACTAATACTGCAAAGCTCTTCCATGAATTGAGCTCTCTCGGTCATTGGCATGTTTATTCCAAGAATAGGTACATAAAAATTCACTTTCCTCTCTACCAGGTGCTGATAGCTCAGGGGTAAAATCCCCACCTGATGCCAAATCAGTTGGGTTTCGATCTTGGCTTGAGGTAATCAGATGTCTAACTACACTGATGAGCTGTGATACATACAGTGAAAAAAGAGTCTGTGAATGTCTATGAATGATATATATATATATATATATATATATATATATATATATATATATATATATATATTTTCATGTTTTATTTAAGTCGACTGACAAGGTATTATGATTAAGCTTTTTATTAAATATTTCTTGCATTTATACAAATGATTTCTTTTTCAGCATAGTGTGTGTAAAAACTGCCCAAATGATCTGTGAATCCAAGCATTTTCAGCTAATCTATTAGACATTATCAAGAATTTTTTTTTTTCTAAGTGAATATGTAGATTTTCATTTGTTTTTTTTATTTTTATATATATATATATATATAGAGAGATAGAGAGATGGGAATGTTTTAATTTCTGTACATGATCAGCATGTTGTGGCTGTGTTCATAGTTGATATTATTGATAGTTGGCTTCTTTTTTATTATTAATGCTTCCAATATTTTTAACCATTTTTTTTTATGTGGATGAGTCTGTTATGTTTATATTTTCCCCAAGTATGCTGTAGACAGAGGTCTAATATAAAGAATTAATGTATTTATTTTAATTGAAGCAATAAAAATGTTGGCTTAAAAATAAATACATTAATTCTTTAGAAATTGATTTGTTTACATTTTGGATATGAAACTGGGCACATATGTAAAACTCAAGAAAAATATTGGAATGTGAAGGGGATGTGCTTTCTTTAGCCTTGCCCCTATTGTGAAGTCCTTTGTGGCTGAGCAGTAAAGCATGCTGGATCAAACAATATTTTCCCCTACAAAAGTGGATGCATCTCTATGGAAGGACATAATTTCTTTACTTAGATTTCTCAAACACATGCACTGATAGACATATTACACTTGTTTTAATAAATAAATAAAATCAAGGTGTCTATTTCAAATAAGAGGTCTCCACTATAATAACATTTGAAGTAATATGTATGTATGTGTGTGTGTGTGTGTGTATATATATATATATATATAGGCTTATAACAAGGTTCCCCAACTTTTTGGCACCACGGACTTGGTGTCATGCAAGACAATTTTTACACAGATCAGGTAGGACCAGTGGTGGCCACCTGCATAACAAAACACAATAGCATATTTTTTATCATATTGTCTAACACTCAGTAACCCCTTGTGTATCAGTGGCTTTATTGCCTTGCTTAGAGTGAAATAATTAAAAAAAAATGTTTTTTGGGTGAAGCTGAAGAGAAAGGAAGAAAAATTCTCTTGATCATAGAACTATTCACCCCCAAACGTCTACCACATATCTTAAGGAAGGTGTGTATGGATGTGTGGGTAGCATAATGGATATCAACACAAAACGGGGGAATCAAGAAGCCAAGTTCAAATAACAGTTGATTCTGTTTAGTTGACTTTGCACTGACACCTGCTCTTGTAAAAGGCATGAATCTATCTTTCCCTACCTATGGATTAAATAACAGAACAGATTGAGCTATTTTGCCTTTTGGGTGGCAACCAATCTGAGAGAAGGAAAACTGAATTCAATCTTAAGTTTTTTTTCTAAGCATTCCACTTCAAGCAAGGCCACTCTGTAGCCACTAGTACACAAGGGGCTACAGAGAGTGTAAGTAAGCGAAAAGACAAGGTTTGGTGGGGGGGTGAAGAAAGGACAAAAAGAAGAACGGAGATCAAGGCAGCAGATGTCGATTGACGTTACATTTAAATTTTTGAAGATTATAGTTATCAGGTAAGCAAGTGAGAAGAATGGAGTTCCACTGTCAGGAAGTACAAGAGAAGAAGCTGTTGAAGTAGAAGAGGTAGTTACATTTAACTGTTTTGACAATAAAAGGATGGGACTGAGATGCCAACCTAGTAGCACGCTTAAATTCATGCAGCTGGGGCACCAGTGAAAATAGCTTGTCAGAGTAGATGCCATGAAAATATTTGTAGAAAAGACAGAGGGAAACCACATCACATCTGTGAGAAAGTGACTAGAGCTGAGATCTCAAGTCAGTACCGCTGTCAGAGTGTTTGAAAACTTCATGTCAAATCATTTGTTATGTGGGTAGTCCAGTGGTTCAATTACAAAACAGAAATGTTCAGTTTTCATATGTTTAAAGTCGAAGAAGAGTCATATATATATATATATATATATATATATATATATATATATATATATATGTATGTGTGTGTGTGTTAAATGTGCATAAAAAGAAAAAACATATAAGCAGTGAATTGCTGATACCCCCCTGAAAAGAGGACGGACACGTCCTACAAAACTCTTGAGTTGGGATGCTGAAGGTGACATCAATCCAAATTTTACTCACATTAATCCTACATATATATATATATATATATTATAATTTTTATTTTTTTAAAATATGATTCCATCACGACACAGAAATTACTGTTTCAAAACTGAAACTCAAGTTCAAAAGTTTAATTTCAAAATTAAACTTGAAATTTAGACCACAGTTTCATTCTCAAGTGATGTTTAGAATAACTAACCAAAGAAATGTTTTACTTATTTATAACTTGGAAATGGAGGTGTAATCTGGGGGTTTCTCTTTCATTATCAAGGGGTCTCTGCTTTGATGAAAGTAGGAATGTTTATTATATGTCAAATTTTGGGAGTCGTGTAAGGTTGGATTGTGAGATTATGGCCTTTACTATTAGGCTCTGTTGTTTTTATTACTATCTGTTAAAACTTTCACTGATTGATGTTCTAGTTACAGTCTTTTTTGGTGTTTATTTGTTTTTCTTTTTGTTGATGGTTTCTTAAAGGGATGCTTAGATATGATTGTGTTGTATTTTCAATCCTATAGTTTTATATGTATCTGAAATTAATTGAATTTGCCAATAGATTTTATATGGTATTGTGGAATTTTTTTATATATTTTGGGATTTAATTTCTATTGTAAATTTTTTGTCCTATCCATTTATAAATTACTAATTTTATAAAGTGTATATTTGGTGGTGTCTGCAAAAACCGTTATTTAATTTCTTTGATTTAATAAATCTTTGTATTTTAGAAACTTGATAATGTGTAGTTTTTTATGTAGGCATAAAGGGCATGGGTCATCCCAGGTTCTACAAGTTCTTGGTCTATTTATTATTTTCCATTTTACTGTTGGTGTCTTATTTGTTTCTTTTAAATGCCAAAATATTTACATAGGGATGTTTGCTTAAATATTTGAACATTAACTTTTTTTTTTTTTACCCTAAAAGTTGAAATTTTTATAAAATAACTATTATTTTTTAAAAAAGATGTTTTTTTTTCCTTCCAATACAGATAAAGTCTTTATCTAGATTTCAGAGAAAAAATCCTGCTATTATATATTGATTGAGTCATTCAGACTAGTTAATGCACATTAAATTAGATGTTAAGATGAGGTTTTCTTAATGCCAAAAAAAGTAAATAAATAAAAATTGCTCAGTTTTTAAAATAATTTTGTAAAGGTTTTTTTAATTTATAATATTTGTTTTAGCAAAGAAAAAATGGCTTGTATTAATACAAGCCATATTGGTGTAAAATATATATTTTGTTAAGCAAAATGTTATTTTTTTTTATTTGCAAAAATATATACATTCTTGGCACAAAAAAAATTTATCTGAGAAATTCTTCTCTGCATTTTAAATCTAATTTTTGACTAAAAAAATTTGAAATAGCTAAGAAATCAATATTAAATCCTTCAAATATATATTAAGGAAAATTAATATTTTTTATTACTTTTGGGGGAAAACTTTTCTTGAGGAAAAATTATTTTAAAGATTTTTAGACAGAGTAAAAGTAAAAAGAAACAGTTCCAATATATGTTAATATTTAATTATTGAAAAGACAATGTTTTCAATGATTAAATATCAACATATACTGGCACCCCTATAGCCGCAATTGTTTCAAACTAAAATATAACCATCACACTTCATTTACTTTCAGCACTGACTTTAGTCTCAGCACCTCACCTGGCTCGATCATATCATCACCTGTTTCCACTCCCTCAATTCAAAGAGGCACCATCATCTTCTGTTCCAAATTCAGAATCCTTGTAAGTAATTTTTGCATCAATATTACATTGGTTCATGAAAGAATAAAGAAAGCTTTAACTGATTGGCTTAATATTCAAGTTAAGGAGAATTACTATTTTCAAAGTATGTGTTAAAATATTGTAATCTGAAGCAGCTACCTTTTATTTACATTAATCTTGCCTCTGTTGTTCAGCAAATTTATTTGCTGATACTTCCTAATTTCTTCTTCTTCTTCTTCTTCTTTTTTTTTTTTTTAATCATTTCACTCCAAGCAAGGCAATAAAGCCACTAAGATGCAAGAGGTTACCAAGTGTTAGAGAATATGAGAAAAACTACTATTTGACAAATTTTTGAAGATCAAAGTTGACAGGGAAGGAAGAAGCTCAGAGAGAATTCCACAAGTGAGAAGTGCGAGAGAAGAAACTGTTAGCATAGAACTTATGGTTACATCTAGCCATTTCAATTGTAAAAAGATGAGACCTTGCCACCAATGTAGTACCAGACTTAAATTCATAAAGTTTAGGTTCCAAGCAAGGCAATAAACCCACTTGGATGCAAGGGGTTACTGAGTGTGAAAGAACATGAGAAAAATAAAAATATTATTAAGGAGAGAGAACAATAAGAGAATAGGAAATAATGATTGATATTGCATTTAAATTTTTTAAGATCAAAATTGACTGGAAAGCAAGAAGCTAGAAGAGACTTTCATAAGCAAGAAGAGTGGGAGAAGAAACTGTTAGCATAGAACTTACTTAAAATGATGAGACCTACCTGCCAATCTAGTACTACACTTAAATTCATAAAGTCTGGATACCAAAGAGGAAACTTCATCAGAACAATTACCATGAAAGTATTTATAGAAAAGGCACAGGGAAGCTATATTACGGTAATGGGAAAATGACTGAAGTTGTAATGCCAGATTAGGACCAATAACATTGCAGATTCTTCTTTGGATTTTATCAAGAATCTCTAAATATATAGCAGTTTAGAAAGAAGTGATATGTCATCTGTTTTTCCAAACTTGGTTACTTAAACAAGTAAATCTTAATTATTGTATATGGGTTTGTTCAGATTCAAGTTTCAGCTGTATACTCTCTGGCATTTCCTTTTAGCCATAAACCAAGAGAAAAAAATTGTAAAGTTACCTTCTCTTTTCCTACCCTCATCCTCTTTTAAAATGGCTGTCCTTCTAGATACATATAAAAAGCAAAGAGACATAGTAGTTTTGGAAGAAGTGCTGTAAACATTCACAGGAGATTAGTGAATATTTATAGAAAAAAACTGAACTTGATGTATGTTCAATACATTTATGGTGCAATACATTTAAAGGCTACCTTAGAAGGAAAAGTGAAATTTCAATGACAGGCCTCACAATAGCAGGTCAGCTTCTGTTGTAAATGAAGCTATGGTCAAATAACTATTATAAAACTATGAAAAACCCCAGATAAGCTATGGTATTGCCTGTAGTTTAGTGCAGTCTCTTGGCAATTCCAAGTTTTGTGCAAAGTAGGTTCAAGGAATGCTGACAGGCTCCATGAAAGAGTAGACGATGGTTGTTGCTCAAGAACTTCTGAAGCTGCATTACATGGCTAGCATCTTCTATAAAGGAAATATTCAGAAGACAGCAACTGGCACATGGTTAAGAAATCACTCAAGAAGCTTTTTTATCCCAAAGGTGGAATACTACAATTGAGATGGAAAGTGATTGTCAAGGACTGGAATTAGAATTTTGGGACTTTTGTGTTCATTTTGGTATGCTCTGTGTGCTTCTACAACTAAATTTATTATAATTAAAGCAGGCATTACGTTTTTACCACCCCTTGTTGAGGTGATTTCTGATTATTTAAGAAATTTGTTATCTTCATTGATCTTTGTGCAAAATAATGAATCAGTGTTATGAATAAACCCAGTCTTATTTGATATAAGATGATCAAATTAGCATGCAAAAGTTTTCATGGGTCATCTATTTCAAATACAAAGTGTCTTCTATAATAACATTTGAAATAATAAAAATGTCAGATTAAAAATAAATCCGTTAATTCTTTAGAAAATGCTTTGTTTATATTTTGGATACAAAACTGAGCAGATATGGGCTTTTGAGAAAAATAATCTGAACAAGGAAATGTGTTTTCTTTAAAAAGGGGAAATAGAGCTTTGCTGAACTGTGATTCTCTCTGTAGCCCAGCAATAAAGCATGCCAGATCAAATGGTGGTTTCCCCTACAAAGGGGAACACATATTCAATCTCTACCAAAGGACATATTTTCTTTACTAAGATTTCTTGAATGTGCAGCCATAATGCACACTGTTTAATGAAATAAAAATGGGGAGTCTATTTCAAATAAGAGGTGTCCACTATAATAATGTTCAAAGTAATAAAAATATGAGATTAAAAATAAATCCATTAATTCTTTAGAAGTTTCTTTGTTTAGGTTTTGGATACGGAACTGAGCAGATATGACTTTCAATAAAAAAAAATAATCTGGGTGAAGATGATGTGCTTTCCTTAAAAATGGAAAATAAAGCCTGGCTTACTGATTTTGCCTACAAAGATGATGCCAGTTCAATCCCTGTCAGAGAAGCATATTTTCTTTATAAAGATTTCTCAAATGGCTTAATACACAATGTTTAATAAATAAAAATGGGTTGTTTATTTCAAATAAATTGTCCACTATGTTTGAAGTAATATAGATATACATATATTTTTCCAGATTTTGTTATGGATGTCAGATTTCACTGAAAGACAAAACTGTAAGTAATTTTTCTTTTCTTTTTTTTTTTTTTCTTTGTCAATTGTTTTGGCTTTGCATTTCTAATATACTTCCACAGATTCACTAAACGATGAGCATACTATGATGAAAAATTTCCCAAAATAAATTTTTTATTGTGAAAATCTTTATTATTAAAAGGAAAGACCAAAGATGTTTTAGATTATTAAATTATATTTTTTGATCCTGTTTAGAATGTTCAAAATTTTTTGATTAAAAATTTTGTTTTTCTTGCGTCAACAGAGAACCATAAATTAGTATCGGTAATTTTGTCATCTTTTTTTTTGCTGTGAAAAAAATTTTTTGAAAATCTTGCAAAAATCAAGTGATTGTTGAATTTTAATGAAACTTTCTGTAACTTATTCACAAATAAATGAAATTATTTTAGAAATATTTCTTTTTTAGAAAATCTTTTTACATCTGTTACTCCCCACTTATCTAATTTTATGCAATTTTGAGAAATTCAATTTTGGACCACTAAATGTTTTTATTAGTTCTAGTATGTACTAGCTTAAAAGGCCACCCTATCTCATGGCATTTAAGCTAGCTCTTGCGAAGGTCTCTTGATTGGGCCTTTGGCTTGTTCAGAAGAGATTGGTGGTTTTGAGGAGCGTAGAACCACCTTTTAATTGCTGCTGTTTCCACGTCCCTCCTGAGTCAGGGTGGTAGCACTTGTTGGGTCTCAGCTATAGGCAAATAGTGAATCCCAAAACAAAACATTATAAAAGTAAAACAGTACATTTTTATAGTAAAATTACCAGCAATACATTTTTATAATAAAATGACCAACAATATATTTTATCTTTAGTTGAAAACATGTAACTGTGTTCAAAATATTTAGATTTCAGCTTTCAATAAGCCATAAACATGTTGATAAGCCACTAAATGAAATCAACCAAATCAACCCATCCTATGTGACGTTGAATACTGGACAATCTCTCCCACAGATGGGGCAACAGAAATGTGATTTTACAGAAGGATGATGAGGGATGGAGCGAGTAAGCAATAAAGAAGTCTTAAGGAAAATGATAACAAAAAGAAATGCTTAATCAGAAGGAGACAGCTGAAATTTCTTGAACACAGAATGAGGATTTCAACTTGAAAAACTTAACCTTCACAATGCAAAAGAGATGGTGGAAGTCAGTTGGCTAATAAGGCTGTTTGAATGGATGGTGAAACAGGATGGGAGGCTTGGCAAAGGGAGAAGCACTACTAAGGGCCATGTGGCATATAAAGTTGTGGAGAGCCATGATTGCCCACATACTGGACGAGACACAGCACATAGAAGATATTTTCATCTATCAACCTGGGGATTTTGAGTCATTAAACCAGGGACATCTACTCAAAACATTTAATAAGAATTTCTTTTATATATATATATATATACACACACTCATATCTCATATATATATATACACTTATGTATATGTGTGTGTGTGTGTGTATATATATATATATATATATATATATATATATATATGATAATGATGATAGCTGGTCGCTTATATTCAAGGATACCCATCTACCAGGGCAGCTAGCCAATCCCTGTTGCAGACGCTTGCTCAGGCACATTTGTGTTTGCTCAACACCCACAGAGACCACCTGTGGTTTATAATGCAACTATGCTGAGCAGACTTTAGTTACAGTTTCTGGGAGAGAGCGTTTTATCTAGCATGATCAACAATTTTAACTAGGCCAGCACACTCAAGCCCTCAAATCCAGTATCTCCAATTTAATCATCTTTAATGACTCTTCCCCACCAACCAATATATTACAGAAAACCAACATGGCTACATTGAGAATTAAGATTGAAAATGTGAATTATAAATTTTAATTTAAAAATGGATGCTGTTAACCAAAAAACGTTTGAAAATCAAGAGGGTAACTCTATTTGTTTTATGAAAATCAATAATGAAATTAATAAGATTAATAATATTAATAAAATATGCAGTGATAAAATTAAGATGCTAATAAAAATAATGTATAACAATGAAAATAAATAAAAATAAAATAGGATAAAAAAAATGGTAAATAACTAAAAATAATAGTGATAATAATAAAAACACCTTGCTGATATAGTAAGACTAAAAGTAAGATAAAAACAATAATAATGGTTAGAAAGTAAAAATAGTAATAATATGGTAAAGAAAATATTAGCATAAATGTTAAATGTATTACAGTCTAATAATAACACTAACAATAGTTATATAGTAAAGATAGTAGACATATTAATAAAAATAAATAATTATGATAATAATAAATAATATCAATATTAGTATTTGTGGTCCCCGGGTCTGACTAGACTAAATTAATCTGAGTCAATGTGCTTGAGTAGAAATTTGGTTCTATACAAGCAGGTGCTCATTAACTCAATTCTCTTGTTTAAGAGGTTTGGATTGTTCATATTTTTTAGGATCATTAATTTTTTTTACATCTGCTGCCTTTCCTGATGAAGGGTTTATCTTTTGTTACACATTCTCAGGTGATAGTTAGGTTTTATCCTCACTTTTCAGTTTCCAGAAAAATTTAGAAAGGGCAATGTTGTTACTACATTTGATATTGCCTAACATCATTTGGTAGTGGTAGAAGCGCAATTTCCAATGATTTTCCGTAGAGTACACATAAAACTTGACCTTATCATCATATTTGATTTCAGCTTTATAGATTAACGATTCGGTCATACATCTGCTGTTTAATGGGCAGGCTTTGATTTTTTGGCAGTTGCATTCTTTAGTTGTGGGGATGTTACTGTTTTGTAGGTTGTTTAAGTGTTTGTTTAGTTGTGCTGAATTATTACAGGTCAATGTTTTTGGCACAACTGTAGCTAACTTTGACGCTGTTTTTGTTTAAAATCTTATTTAACGTTGGGGAATGACTGAAGTGCTTATGGATTAAACTCACAAAATTTTTTTCCAATATTAGTTTTTGTTGAAGAGCAGGTTAAACCATATTGTGTTTACAGCATTTTGGTTTGTTGATGTCATAATTGCTATTGGCTAAGAATTCAAGGTATATACACACACACACACATATACATATATATATATATATAATAGTATGACAAATTGGAAAAAGTTTTTGCGATGCAATTCATCCGTTAGGATTTCCTTTCATTGAACTGGGCTCTGTTGATGTTGCCATATCTACATATGTACATGAAATGAGAGATGCTGGTAATTTCAAAATTTTTGAAAGAATATTTTTACACTCTAGCTAAATTCATCTGTATTCTTTTTCTTTCCATCACCTTTGTCCCTGACTATCCCACATTTTCCGACAGAAAATCTACCAAGAATTGTGATATATTGTAAGAGTCTGGACGCATATTTACCGTGGCTGAACTAGCAATCAAGGCACTTTCTAGACATTTTTGTTTTAGTGAATTATTTTCTCTTTTAATCAAAGTAGCATTCCCTGTGTCAAAATTGTGGTCAATTTCATTACAGTGAACAACCAATGCATTTTGTATGTTGTTTTTTTTAAAATGTCCCTTTTGTGTTCCTATAGCCTTTTGTTTAAACTACTTGTGGTTTCTCCATTTCTGACAACACCTGTGCTTGATAGAATAAATTCCTCCTTTAAGCTTTGGCTTGTTGTTTTGTTTTTTTATTGATTAAGTCTTTGATTGTTTTAGATGTAATTGTGACAAATTTTATGTTAACTTTAGACAAATTCTTTTTGGTTGTAGTTGTGATAGTGTTAGTGGGTAGAATGATCTATTTTTTTGATTTGTTGGGTTTGTCAGGAAAAACAACACTTTTATTTTGGAATATTTTACATGCTTTCAAAAAAAAGAAAAATATTGTTTCAAAAATGTTGAAACTATCAGCATCTCTCATTTCATGCACATGCCCTGTCTGATAAAATCCCAATAGATGAAACGCATCACAAAAACTTTTTCCAATTTGTCATACTATTTTTCTAAATATTTTTTGTTGATATATAAAATTATACATTGTTTTTATATATATATATAATGCCATCCACAGACAGACAGTTTCGCTGTATCTCAGCTCATCGGTGTGGCTAGATATCTGGTTGCCTCAAGCCAGGATCGAAACCCAACTGATTTGGTATCTGTCAGAGATTTTATCCTTGAGCAATCAGCAGCTGGTTTAGAGGAAAGCTAATTTTTATGTACTTATTCTTCAAATAAACACACTAATGACTAACAGGGCTCCATTCATGAAAGAGCTTTGCAGTATTAGCAATAGTAGTCATTGTTTACAAATTCGTGTTTTCTCCAAAGAGTGCTTGACCGCAATTAATTTTTCCAGGGCCATATATATATATATATATATAATCAAATTTGCAATGTTTATAGGTGGGGAGAGTTCAATATCAGAAATAAGGTTTATAGATATGGACAGTGTTGAGACAGAAATCTACACTGCATGGCAACTATCAGTTTCATGTTGCAATTGTTGATTCATATTCTATGTATGACTTTTATCAGTGATGTATTAACTCCAAAAGTTTCTCATAATTTAAAAATATTTTCTGGCTTTAAATAACCTACAAAAATTGATAAACCATAAAAATAAACTCAAATTAACCAATGCCTGCTCCAAAAAAGAATCAATATAAAATATAGATAAAGTTTAGCCATGAATATTAATTATTACATTGTGGGGGAGAAAAAAATAATCTCTTTATAGCTCTGAAATATGAACATGCTTTTTCCCAATTGACTATATCTCACTTTTATTTATATTTCAGATTTACACCTGTACCAAATGCAACCAGATTTTCTGTATTGACTGTGACCTTCTTGCACATGAGACACTACACTGTTGTCCTGGTTGTGCATCATCTCGTAACACACAGCAGATAGGCTTCATTGATTCGCTCACTTGAAAATAAATTCATTACCTGTTTAGGAGAAATGCAAATCATCCCACATCAACATTAGAATAAAATTTACTTTCTTATGAATGATAGTCTTTCTTATTCTTCTCTATTTAGCTTTATATTTTAAGTTTGCATTCCGGTGGAGTTTTACACAAGTATACTTGGGAAAGGTATGAATCACCCCAATCTATGGGTTAAATAGTAGGGCAGACTAGGCTCTTCTTTCTTGGGTGGCAACCAGTCTAGGAGAATGACTTTTCTGAATTGAAAACCATATGTATTTTTTTTTTTTTTTTTAGTGATGTTCACTCTGTACTTTAAATTTTTGGGAAAAGATAATGAGAAAAGAAGGTTTCAAAAATTTAATGTTCAGAGGTGTTGTATTAAGCATCTGGTGGCAGAACAAAGAAGAAACAAAGGAGGTTTAAGAAATAAACAATTGTATTAATGTAAAAATACAACAAATGGTAAATTGGTGTAAAAATGTCTCTCATTGAAAGAAAGAGATAAGTAGAATCGTAAAAGTCATCCACAGAGGCGTATGGGAGGGTGAGTTGTGACTTACAGCAGTGATGGCCTTTGGGGAGTTGTCTTTGGAAATGGGAGGTCACATTGTAACAAGCGTTGTGAATCCAGGCTGTTGTGCCATCTGACTGCCAAAGATGTCCCTTTGATGGGCTTTTATGTCCTTTTCTTAGGCTCAGACTGATCCAATTTTATTTTGTTTCTTTAGGCAGAAGTGGGTGCTATTAGGTTTCAGAGCATTCACATCCAGCCAGTGGAGAAAATTTGTGAATCAGAAGATTATAACAGAGGGTACCTCAAAGGAAAGAGAAGCAGAGGAAATCAGTAATAGAAGGAGAAATAAATACAACAAAGATAATGGTTATAAAGGAACAAGTATAGCTGAAATAGTAGTAGAAAGCTGTGATGACCCATGATTGCCTATGTCCTAAATGGACAGGAAACAAGAGAATTATATACCTGAACATGGCACAAAATTAACTTTCTATTATTGCGGTGAACAATCACATAGAAGCAACCAAGCAAGCCAGAGTGGCTTTCATCTGGTGCAAAGGAAAATAAGTTCCTTACCTCAGTACATGGCACATAGCATCAGCATTTTGCTCTTTGAAAATGGCATTAATCTCCATTCCATGTTAGACTGTTCCAACAGTATGTGCTGTAATGGTGGCTTTGTACAGCTTAGCATGGTTTGACCAATAGCAAGTCATGTGCTGATTGGTCAGACTGGAGGAGGCTATTTGCCTTGGTAACTGAGAACAAAAGCAAAGAATGGTGATTGGTTAGTCAGCCATGATGTTGACCTGATAAAAGAGGGCTGAAGCAGTGAGAAGGGAGACCAGGTTTATATTGGTGAAGTGTGCGGAACTCAAGAATGGTGATTTGAACAAGCAGTATTTCGTATGTTATGAACGACATCCAAGGAATAGAGATTCATTTAACTACACTGATTATGGCTGCTTTTCATTGATTACTGCCTTCTATTGGTTTAACTATGACCTGTACTTGTTCCCATCAATTATTTGGTTCTAAAAAATGAATTCATAACAAAGAACTTTCTTTCAATCCCATAATATGCATAGAAGTACCTTTAGATAAGGTCTGTCTATTGATATGAAGTTGTTCACTTTGCTTGTCCTACAATCTCTTGTGTTCTATCTAATACTAAAATATACACTTTACATTACTGACAACAATTGGATTAAAAATCGGGGGGGAATCAAAAGAAGCCACACATTAAAGCAATGGACATTGCTTTATGAAACCCACACATCAACATGATTAACATAACCAATCTGATACAAATGATTTTTAGTGCTTGATTTAGAAATTTTGAATAAGTTTTCACCCACCCCCCACCTCATTTAAATTTGATTATTCTCAAATGATATCTTCATTTTATTTCAATACTTTCAACCTCAACTGGTCAGCTGACGACAACATCCCCAAGTATTCTTTTTGTTCAAAAGCTATTCTTGACATTTTTAAGTTTTTTTCAATAACTACTGCATAAAAGGAAAAAATATTTTTTTTGCATTTGAGTCGCATAACAAGTATTGACAAAGCATTTTTTAAATGTACTCTGATAGGACTGATGCTACACTGCAATCCAACATTTTAAAAGTGCACATTGATAGGACAAATGCTGCACTACTGTCCATCTATGTAGTGGACTGGTGATGTAGAATAGTTTTACACTGCGGCTGGGGGACTGAAAGATTTTTATTCATTCGTGTATATAGGTAGATCTTTTGAAAGAAAAGACATACAAACTAAATCCAATGAAGTCCTAACAGATGAACAAAACTTTTTCCAATCTGTCATATATTTTTTCTTTCAAAACTGTTGTTGATATATTAAAATTTATATACAATTTATATACCATTATCCTATATATATATAACACACACACAGAGATGCATATAATGCACTATAGGTAGAAAAATTCTAGAATTGCAATTTTAAAATTTTCATACTCTGACATATTTGACATTGTTGTGTGTGTGTAGTATATATATATATATATATATATATATATATATATATATATATATTAAAGAAAAACTGACCACTTTAAGGTTCCATTATAATTATTTCACCAGAGCCCTTTTAAGGGACACTGGATCATCAGATAACACTTCCAAAAATGAAATGAAAATTCATACTTTTGACAGGTAGTATCAAGTTTATGTAATTTAAAAAAGAAGGTAGGGAGGAGTGGTGGGAGAGACATGGTTAAGTTTAGAGAGTTTGGATTTACATTGAGCTCTCAGGATTTCATCCTCCTTGGGACTACCCATATGGATTACTAAGTTTTTCATAACTTAACTATATTTTAGGCATGTCTAATTGAATAAATTACAGACATTATGTCTGCTAATTTAAAAAAAAGTCCGTTCATACTCCAGCAGTGTTTTGCACATGTAAGCAATGCTAGAAACAAGGAAAAGAGTGCTAAACTGTTATGTGATATCTGTCCTTTTTATGGCAGTAAGTGCTGAACAATCTTCTCAAAGATGAAGAAGAGACTTGCAGCAACAGAAATGTCATTTTTACAGAAGTATGCTGAGGATATTATGGACCGAACATGTGAGCAACAACAAAGTTGCTGAACAATCTTCTCAAAGATGAAGAAGAGACTTGAAGCAACAGAAATATCGTTCTACAGAAGGATGCTGAGGATATTATGGATCAAACGTGAGCAACAACAAAGTTTCAGAAAAAATGAAAACAAAAGGGAAACTTATACTTAACAGTTGAGGATTCTAGGGCACATGATGAGGAAGAAGGCTTGGAAAATCTGATACTCACAGGACAGATTGAAGGCAAGAGACAGTGGAAAACAGCACATGACATACTTAATGAGCTTGAGTAAATGAATGGTGAGACAGGGCTTAGGAGAAATAACAGAAAGACAAAATTTATTAAGTGTTACAAAGGACAGGAAGTTGTGGAGAGCCATGATGACTTACAAAAAGATGTAACAAGAGAGAAAAAATTCTCTAGCATGCACACAAAAGAAGGCAGGCATTAAAAATTAGAAACTGTGTGGGTGATACATGGGTGTATAGATATGGGAAATATATCCCTATCCTTGAGGACAAGGTCCCATTGAAGTTACTTCTACCACATGCTAGATGGAAAAGAGAGAAAAAGAAAGAGGACAGGAAGTGTCCAATTTGTATAGTTGTTAGTGTCAACTAATGACTTCTTGGCGAGACTGATAAAGCTATGTGGGGATAACCCACAAGGTCATTCAGTGTATCAGAAGGTTGCTTGTAGGTGTAGATGTACTGTAAGCCAACTACTTATAAGAAAAATGAAAGGAAAAGAAAGAATATCTATCGCTGTCAGATTGTTGCTGCTATCTGACATACAAGGTGAATGGTATTGTCTCAACAAGCAGTAAAAGAAGACTATTGATATATACTATAACAAGGTTTATTTATATGTAGACAACATTTTTCAATAAATGTATACATTATAACTAACAGATGTTAGATCTTTTCACCAGACATGCATGCATTGAAAACCCTATCATCAACAGTGATCCCTTTTCAGTTTTTAGGTATGTCTAAAAAAAAATACTCAGAGCATGAATAGTGTGAATTCCAGAAAGCTAGCATTCTTTCAAACTGTGCTAGAGTTGAAGTAAGATGCTAGACTTAACAATTCAAAAACAGAAGAACATGGTTTAGACTCACTCACTCTTTAGTGAATGCAGAATTCAAATCCTATGTAGTTCTCAAAATCAGCACAACAAAAAACAGACTACATTCTGAGTTTTTGCAAAGACATTTTCTGATTGGTTAACAAATATTAAAAAAATACATTTCACCTTTTCTCAACTGCATTCAAATCAAATCAGCCTAGTTTCTGACCCAAGTTAAAACACAGATTGCACCAAGCAATTTGGAGCCAATCATGTGACACAAGTTTTCAATAAATATGAAATGTTGTTTATCCTTGGCAGTGAGACGAATCAAGTTTTTCACCTCGACAAAGTACCTATGTCACCTAATTTTAAGCTTAACTTTAATTACTTAAATTAACATAAACCCAGTTTGCAAAGGAAAATTCACTCAAACAATTTATTTATTTCACTACAAACATTGCAAGTTAAAACTCCAGTCAAAGAGCGACAACTTTGTAGAAATCACAGTAAGTCAAGAACAATACTTCTAATTTAATACAAAAAATAGAACTGTTTAATATCTGTTTATATTTCTGAGATGAAATGTTATGTACACTATTTACATTATTCGGACTATTGTCCTTATCTTTGTTGCCATATTTATCACAACGTTTTGGCCATTGTATGCTCTGGCCTTCTTCAGGTGGTTGGAATGTCGAACTGAACCCTTTATTTTGCTCGCTGAGGTAGACTGTTGTAGTTCCACGTGCCATGTCTAATGGATGTCAGTTATCAGTTATCTCCTGTTAATTCCCCTCTTCAAGTTTGCCTTGAACCGGTCCTTGAG